TAAAAACTATAAAAGAACGCGTTTTAAACCCGTTTTTAATTTTCTTTTTTTTAATTTAGCCTTTACTTTTTTTTTAATACCCGTTATTAAATTAAGAATTAATATACCGGCGTGGTAAATTAATATACCGGCGTTATTATACGCTTTTATATAATAAAAATAAAATAATATATTAATACTCTTTTTTAAAATTTTTTTACAGATTTCCTAACGAAATCTCTTAGATATATTATAAAAGTTTTAAAAAGAACTTTTAAAAAAACTTAAAGATTTCCTTATGATTTCCTTTAAGGAAAATAAAAGAAATTTTAAAAAATCTTTTACGATTTCTTTTAAGGAAATTTTAAGGAAATCTTAAAGAAATCTTAGGCTTTTTTAAACGCTTTTTCTAAAGGAAATCTCTAGGGAATCTTAAGAATTTCATAGCCTAATAAACGTCGCTTTTATACCGGCGTCGCTATTCGGCTTTTTAATTAACTTAAAAAAACGATATTTTTTATAAAAACGGTAAAAATAATTATATTAATACAATTATTTTAATTTTTTTTTAATTTAAGTTTTTATTTAAGACTTTTAAAAATATATATTATAACTTATTTATATTATAGTTTGATGAATTTTAAATAAATATTATATAATTTTTAAAAAGGCTTATTATTTAATTATTTTTTATAACGTAATTATAAAAATTTATTATTATTATAAATTATTTTTTCTTAATTCCGTTTTTTTTAAATATTAAGTTATATTAATTGTTTATTTATTTAATCTTTTATTATTCTTTTTTTATTAAAAACGCTAAATTAACTTTTTATTTATTATTAAAATAAATTTAATATTTAATTTTACCTTTATTAATATATTTTTTATATAAACTTAGCTAGCGTTGATTTATTTTTATTACTAAATAAGCGACCTTATTATTTATTATTTACGTTTTAATTATTAAAAATAGTACGGGTTTAATTAATTAATTAGCCTTTTTTAAATAAAACTAATTATGATAAGATAAATTACGTTATATTCTTTAATTTATTATAAAAAAATATAATAGTTTTAAAATTAAAAACTAGTTAATATAAATTTAAGAAAAATATTTTTTAAAAACGCTACCGAGGGTATATTTTTTATTTATTAAAAATAATTAAATTTATTATTTTAAAATAGATTTTATAATAATATAAAATACTTAGTTTAATTAAAATAATATAATTTAAATTATAATTTTTTAAAAAGATTAAAAATAGTTTTTTATTAAACGGTATTACCTTTTTTATTAGTTAATATTATTTTGTAATTAATATAAAATATTTTAAAAAAAGTATTATTAAAATTTTATTTAAGTATTTAAAATAAGTATTTATATATTTTTAATTTATAAATATTTTATTTTTAATATAAACTTATTTAAAACGTATTTTTTAATTATTAATTATATTTTATATAATATTAATAAATTAATATAAGTAATTAAAACCGTTTAAAAAATAACTTTTAATATTATTATTACTTAATTTAATATTAAAAATAATGTAAATATTAACGTTTTGATATTTTTAAATAGAATAGCGGGCTTATTATATTTTTAAAAATAAATCTATTATATAAAAATATTAAAAAATTAAATGTTAATTATTAAATTTTTTATAAAGCTTAGTCTAAGCTTTTTTAAATACGTATTTAATTTTAATAAAAATAATAAGCTTTTATATTATAAAGACCTTATAATATATAAAAAGGGGGCTTATTAATAAGTATATTAATATAGGCTTTAATTTTATTACTTAACGTAGCTATTATTTATATTAATAGTTAATATCTTTTATTATTAAACTTATTATTATTATTATTATAACTACGTTCCTTAACTTATTTTTATTTAGTTTTAAATATAATATTAAAATTAATATAATAAATATAAAGTTATTATTAAATATTTAAGAACTATTTATTCTATATAGTTTTTATTTATTTATTATAATTTATAATAATAATAATAAAGTAATAGACTAAATATTAGTTTATAAATTAAGAAATATTTATTAAAAGAAATTAAAAACTTTTTAATTTCTTATTATTAATAAAGCTGAATATAGCGTTATAAATAAATTTAAAATAGGTTTATTTAATAATCTAAAAAAAAAAAGAGCTTAAAACAATTAATATTATAAATATTATTAAAATTAATTACTTTATAAAATCGCTTTTATATTTAAAAATAATAAAGAAAAGTCTAAATAAAGTTAATAAAGCGATTCAGTTTATCGTTTATTTATTTTATTACGTATAAAAAATTTTGTTTATTAAATAGCTTAATTAATATTATAATTAAAGAATATTTAATTAATTTCTTTTAATTTATATAAGCTTAAGTATTATAAATATTTTGCTAAGTAAATAAGGATTTTAAAAACTATTTTTAAATAATTATATATATATTACGAGCTTAAATCTTAATTTATCGGTTTATAATTCTAATAATATTTTAAACTATTTAAATAAATTTATAATATAAAAGGTATATAAAGGTTTTAAAATTAAAATTATAATTATATTAATTGTGTTAAAGGTTTAAATAATAACATAAAAGTTATTTAGTCTTTTCTTAAGTTTTAGTAATAATTTATTATTTATAATTATATTTTTACAAAATTTAAGTTATTAAATATTAATATTTTATATAAGCCTAGGCTTATTAAACCGATTATATTAAAAAATATATTAAATAATTCGGCCTTAAATTTTATGTTTATTCCGTTTTATAATATTAAATTTATAAATATTTATAAAAGTATTAATTTAATTAAAAAAAGTATTATAAATTTATTTCAAATTATTAAAGATTAATAAAGTTAGGATTTCGGTTATGAAAAAAATCGGTTATTTAAAATATAATAAAGAATTATAATTTAAAAAGACGTTTCATTTTAAAAAAAAGATTAATATAAGGGTAAATAAAGTAATAAATTAATTTAAAAACCCTCTATTTTATATTATTAATAAATATATTTTTATTATTAAAAAAATATTAAGATTAATTATTAATTAATCTTAATAATTTATAAAATAAACTAAAAAGTACTATTAAATTATATTATTATAAAATAAAAAGTTTATTAAAACTATTTATTATAAAAAAAAGCCTATATTTTAAAAGAAATCGTAAAAAAATAATCCGTTAAGTTTTTATTATTTTTTTAAAAAATAATAAATAAAATATAATATAAGTTTTATATTAAAGTAGTTATTTATAAAAAGTTATATATTTTATAATATATTAGTTAAAAGTTTAGTAATAAAATTACGTTATTTTTAAAAAATTATTAATTTTATAAAATTAATTAACGCTTAGGCGGTTATTTTTTAAAAAAAAAAGATAATAATAATTAATTAAATAATAATAAAACGCCGTAATTAATTAATAATCGCTTTTATAAAAAAGAGGTTTATTAATATAAATATTATTTTAAAATTAGCTTTATAAAATATTTTTAATTTTAATTAAAAAAGCTATTATAAATTAATAATATAAATTAGATTTAAAAGTTTAATAATATAACTTTAAAATCAAAGGATGAATAAAATAAAAAGGTTAAAATATTTTATAAGTATTTAATAGAATTTAATTATATAAATAATATTTTATTACGGCTAGCTAATCGTAATAAAGTTTATATTAATAAAAGTTAAGGCTGCGATACTTATGAACAATAGTCGTTATAAAAATAACTTTAATAAAGTTATTATTTATAAGTCGTAAAGTAAATAAAGCTTTAGTAATTAATTATAATTTTATTAAATAAGTTTTTAATAAAAATAATTAAAAGCGATCGTTAGATTTAATATAAAAATTAATTATTAAAAAAGTTATAAAAGTCTATCCTCGAGCCTAGCTTAGGTTATTTTATATATAAGTTTTAATTATAAATATACTTTTTATAATATTTTATTTATTATTATCTAACAATTTATTAAACGGTCGTCCGTTCTATATTTTTATAATCGTTTATTTCATTTATTTATAAACGTCCGTTCTTTATTTTATTATAAAATTATAATTATATAATTTATTTATAGTTTTTTTATTTTAAAGGGAGCTATTTAAGTTCTTATTATTATATATATAATATAATAATTATTATAAATTTTATAAAATAAAGCCTTAGTTTAATAATATATATTAAATCGTAATATTAACTTTTCTTTTTAAAAATCTAGTCTTTAAGTTTATAAATAGATCGTTTATTCTTAAGTTAAAAAATTATTAAGTATTTTTATTAAAATATATTAACGTTATATTAAATCGAATTAAAAAATCGAAATTATAAAAAGTTACGTCTCGTCGTCGTATATTATATATTATTCGTTTTTTTAATAAAAATATAAAAATAATACCGTATTTAAATTATCGTTTTTAAAGCATTCGTTATTTAATTCTTCTTAATTTTAATATTTATAAAATATATTATTATTTAAATATTTCGTACGATATTTTTATTAATACTATTTATATTTATAAGTTTTTTATAAATAGTCTTTTATAAGTCTTGATTAATAAATATAATAAATTGTTTAATAATAGAATTTAATCGTTTTAATTATAAAAAATAAATAAAAAAGTCGCGGTTTTGAAAAAGAGTTATAAAACTATAAAAAAAAGTAAGGCTTATTAAAAAGCAAATTAAGTAAATCGTTATTTAAATTAAAACGCTTTTATTTTTAAAAACGAATAATATTTAAAAAAAGTCATATTATATTAAAAGAATTTCTTAAGGATATAAAGAGTATTTTTTTAATAGCTTAGGAGGCGTAAGTTAATAATATTTTTAACGTTATTAATTAAAACGCTATAATAATTAAAAGTTTTAGTTTTAAATTTAATTTTAATACTTTTTAAAAAGCTATTAAGAGTTTTAAAGGTTTATAATAAGTTTTTATATATTATTTTCGTATCCGTAATCTTTTTATATAATAAAGTACTTTTTATATCCTTTTTTAATTTAATAGTCAATAACTCGTTTAATTTTATATTTTAGTTTATTAAATTCGATAATAATACGATTTTTAATATATAAACTTTTAAATATTAATTTTAAAAATAAAATATAAAAAACCGGGTAATATTGTATTATATTTAAAAATTTTAATTTAAAATTAATTAATAAAACTTTTTTAATAATTTTAAAAAATCTAAGTTTTTTATAATTTAATTTATTATTTAGTCGTTTTATTTTAATATTGCGGTGAAAAAGATATATATTATCTTTTTTTTTTAAAGTTAGTTTATTAATTTTTAATTTATCGGCGTATTTCTTTATCCATTACTATATAAATTTAAAATTTAAAAAAGCTTCTTTTTAAATCTTTTTAAATTTATTTATATTTATTACGGCTTTTATAATTTATAGACCTTTGCGTATTTCTTTATATATAATTAATTAAAATCCGTAATTAAAATAAAAAAGGGATTTTTTTATATTTTCGTTAACTACGTTATTATATATAAATTAGGTTATTAATAATAATATTATTTAATTATTTTAATCGTAATTTATATAATAACGGAGGTATATTTTGAAAATTTAATTAATTTCTTTTATTTATTTATCGGTTTATAGATAAAAAAAGGTCGATAGTTTATAATTTCTATTAAGCTATGAAATTAAAAATATTTAAAAATTAATAATAAATAATTTATTTTTATTAAAAACTATTTCTTTAAGTAAACCGTGGTTAATAATAATTATTTTAAAAAAAGTATATATTAATTCTTTAATATTATTTATTTCTTTATATAATATAAAATAAATAAACTTAGTAAATCGGTCGACGATAATTAAAATATTATCGTATTATATATTTATAAATAGTTTTTTAGATTTTAATAGTTTAATAATAAAATTTTCAAAAATTAAATACTATATTTTAAATAGCATTAGTAAAAGTTATAGCTCTTTATAAAGTTTATAAAGGCTATTTTTATTTTTTTTTATAAATATTATAATTTTCAATAATTTTAACGACTTTTATTTTTATAACGGTTTTATTATAATATTAACGAATTTGTTTTTATATTTTTATAATATTTTAATAACCGTATACTTAAGTATTATAAATTTTTATAATAAGCTTAGGAGTTATTTTTTTAAACAAGCTAATATTAACTTTTTTAATTATTATAAAAAGTTTTATAATAAATATAAAATTATCGTTATTATTGTATTTAAAGATTATTTATATTTCCTTAAGAACCGTAATTTTATAATTAAGTCGTTTATTAAAAGTATTTATTTTACCGTTTTTTAAACCTTTTCGGTAAATAATTTAAAAATTAAATTTTAATAAAAATTCGTTTTATTTAATTTATTATTTATTTAGATTTTTATTTATTATAAAGTTCGTAAAATTCTTATAATCTATATAAATAATAATTTCGTATTTAGTTTTTAAAAATTATAGTTTTTATTTTTTAAAAGCTTTGATTATAATTATTAATTCTTTATTATAAATTTATTAATTTAGTTTTATTTTATAAAACGTTTTAAAATAAAGTATATAAAAGTAAAATATTTTTTATTAATTTTATTATTTTAAAATAGTTTTTATAATAAAATCCGAAGCGTTAATCTCGATTTTAAACTGTTTTTTTAAATTTAGAATTATAATTATTAATTCCGAAATAACTAAGTCTTTAACTTTATTAAAAGCTTTTTATATTTTTTATTTTAAATAAAAATTATATTTTTTTTTATTAAGTTATTAAAAGGTTTAATAATATTAATATAGTTTTTAAAAAATCGCTGATAAAAATTAACAAATTCTAAAAATAATTATATATTTTTAATATTAGTAAGTATAGGCTAGTTTTTAATTATTATTATTTTAAATATTTATATATAAATTTATTTTAATATAATCGTATAGTTAAAGAAATCTACTTTTTATATATAAAATTCGTATTTATTAAACTATTACGATTTAATACGTATTACTAAACTAGGGCCCTGCCCTACAAGACCTACGGCGGCTATTATATTATATATATAGTAATAAGAACTTAAACGGCTTCCCTTAGGACGGAAGAATTATAAATAAATTATATAATTACGATCGTACGATAAGATAAAAAACGGACGTTTATAAATAAATAGGACGGGCGATTATAAAAATATAGGACGGACGACCGCTCGGTAAACGGTCGGATAATAATAAATAAGATATTATAAAGGATATATTTACGATTAAGATTTATATATAAGATAGCCTGAGCTAGGCTTGAGGATAGATTTTAATAGCTTTTTTAATAATTAATTTTTATATTAGATTTAACGATTATTTTTAATTATTTTTATTAAGAACTCGTTTAATAAGATTATAATTAACTACCGAAGCTTTATTTATTTTACGATTTATAAATAATAGTTTTATTGAAGTTATTTTTATGACGATTATTATTTATGAGTATCGTAGCTCCGACTTCTGTTAATATAAACCTTATTACGATTAGTTAGCCGTAATATAAATTTAATAAAAAGCTTTATATTTTAAAGTTTTTAAAATATTATATAAACGTATTTTTTATATATTTTAAAATTAAAAAAGAAAATAAAGATATTATTAAAATAAATAATTGTAAAAATATCGACGTATTTTTTAAATATATAATTAATTATTATTTAAAATATAATAGGTGCGTTAATAAGTCCGAAAAGTATAACTAAATACTTATAAAGTCCTCTACGAATTCGGAATACCGTTTTTTATTTATTTCTTTTTTTAATTTTAATTTAATTAAATACTCTTTTAAGATTTATTATAATAAACTATTAAGCTCCGTATAATATTTCTTTAAGTTTTATAATAAAGGGTAATAAATAATAATTCTTTTTAATAATTTTATTAAATCCTTTATAATCGATTATAAATCTAAGCTTTTTTTATTTTTTTAAATATAAAAAAGATTAATATTTTTATTAAAAAGGATAATAATCTAATATAACCTTTTTTAAATTTATTATTAATATATTTATTAAATTCGTTACGTTCGAATTAATTTATAAAATATAATAAACAAAATTTAAATTATATTCTTTTTTTTAATTTAATTTTTATATCCTAACTACTATATTTTAATAATCTTATTTCTTTTTTTAAAACGAATAATTTTATATAAATCCGGTATTTTTTAAATATAGTTTAAAATAAGTTTAATTTTTAATCGTTCGTACAAAATACGAATATTTTAATAAATTCTATCGCTTTAATAAAAGCGATATATTTAATTTATTTTCGTTTATTAAGTATTACGTAAAACTTATTTAAACCCTTTTTTTTAAATCATTTAATAACTAAATTTATTTAATAAAATTAGCCGGTTTTTTAATTTATTTATAAATTTTATTTTCGTAATTATAAGATTTTTAAAATAATATTAGTATTTCCGATTTCCGTAATATTATATTTTAATTATTTTAATTAATTATTAATATATATTATAAAATATATAGTTTTTTAATTAATATATCCGTTATTATAATTAACTTATTTTTTTTTTACTATTTATAAAATATATAAGTTCGTTTTTCGTATTTATAATAATTTATATTTATTTACCGTTTTTAATAAAATAAAGATTCCTTAAACGCCGCTATTAATAATAATATTTATATTATATTCGTTTATTTAAAATTTAAATTATAAATATTCTTCGTTAAAGAGTATTATAAAATATAAAAATTTATTTATTTTAGCCGCTTTTTATTATTTTTTTATAATTAATATATTTAGTTTTTTAATATTTTAAAAGCTAATATTTGTTTTTTTTTATAAACCGTTTGTAATTAATTATTAAATCGGGGCACTTTTATTTTTTAATAAATAAATATAATACGTTAATAATATTATAAATATCGTTTATTTTTTTATTAATAGGTTTTCTTTTTTTAAAAAATAATTTATAATTTTTAAGTATTTTAATATTATATGTTTAGAATATGTCGGTTATATAAATAGTTTTTTAGGTCCTTAGTAAATTAATTTGGTTTTTTTTAAAAGCTTATAGATTTTTATTATTTTAATTATTTATTTAAATCGGCTTCTTTTTTAATAATAAAATCGTTAATATTAAATAATATTTTATAATCGATTTTTAATTAAATACTTCGTTAAACGACGTCGTAAGGTTTGTTTAAGTTATAAAGTAATTATTAACTTATTAGCTATTTATAATTTAATATATTAATATTATTTAAAAACGGGTCGTAATTTAATCCCTCGGTGCTAAATTCTATAGATATATCGTTAATAATTCCTTTATTTAAATCTTTTAATTTAATATTTTTTTTAAATATAAAAAAGTTTTGTTTTAAACGGAGTATATTATCCTTTATTATTATTTTAAATTATTTATATAATCGCTATTATAAAATAATAAGGATTATTTTTATAATTAAATATTAAAGAATATAAACGTTTACCGTATAATAAGCCTCGTTTAGTTTTTTAATATATTAATAATAACGTTTCTTTAACGTTTAAGGTCTATATATTAAATATATAATATCTATTTTTTTATTAATTTTATATTTTAGTTAAAAAAAGACTTTTTTTGTTTTAATTTTCAATCGTTTTTAAAATCGTTATTAAAATAAAGCGAATATTATTTTCATATTTAATCGCTTTTTCTTTAATAATCGGCCGGCTTTATAATAGCTAATTAAAATATAAATATAATTTTTATTATAATTTTTTATTATTAAAAGGCGTTATTCGTAATATTAAATTATTTTATTAAGTATTTATCGTATTATATAAATAGATTTATTTAAAATCCGTATTTTATAAATTAAAATCTCGTTTTTTAATTAAAATAGGTCGTTTTTATTTTTAATTATTATCTTTTATTTTAATTTATCTCTTATTATTATAAAGGTTTACGTTTGTTTAAAAAAGCTAATAGGTTATATTTTAACTACTTCGTATATAATTAATAATATTTAAATATATTTTTTATTATAGTTTTTAATAATTTTAAAATATTAAATTACTTTTTACTTATTTATTATAATAAGGGTTTTATTAAAAAGTTTTTTAAAATATTATCCTAATTATTTTTTATTATTTCGGTAAATAAAATTATTATCGTCGTAATATATAATTTAAAAAAGTAATTTATAAAGTATTTTTTTAAAAGTAATATTAATTTATTTTTTAAAAATAGGTCGTTATTAAATTTATTTAGGCTATTTATAATCTTTAATTATATATCTTAGCTTATTATAATTATAATATTTAAATTCTTTTTTTTAATAGGATTAGTTTTATTTTATTATATTAAGGTTTATAAGTCCGTTATATTATTTATAAATAATAGTTTATTAAAAGTTATTATTCTTATTATAACGGTATTTTTAATTAAAATTATGTTAAAGTTATTATTAATATTTACGTTTTAAGTTAGGTTTTTATTATTATATTTTTTTTTTTTATAAAAGCGGTTATCGATTTTAATTATAAGTTTAGTATATTAAAAAAAATTATTTAGTTCGTCGATTTTAATAAGTTCGTTTTTAATTTTATTTTTTAATTTTTAATAAAATATAAAAATCTTAATCTCGTTAATAAAATTAAGTTAAGTATTAAGGTATTTAAACTTAATTAAATAGTCTTTTATTAATTTAATTTATTAAAATTATAATATATTACGCTCGGCTTATTATTCTTTATTTAAATTTCAAAAAAGCGATTTAAAAACTTTTTTAAACATATTAAAATTATAATAAATATTTTACATTTCGATATAATATTTATTAAAAGTCTTTTTTTTAAAATACTTTTTTAAAAAGGTTCAAATTATTTAAAAACTTATTTTTTAAAAAAGTTAATAGCGTATACGACTTTTTTAATTTTGTTATTAAAGTTTTTTTAATAAAAGTTTTAAAAGTTTTTAATTTAAATTAAAAAACTTTTTAAAGTTTTAAAAGTTTTATTAAAAATAACAAATATCTTAAATTTAAGTTTTTATTATTTTTTATTAAAAGGGGTAGTAACGATATTAATAGTATTTTAAAACGTATTTATTTAATTAATAAAATTTAAAACTTTTTAATATTTATTTTTAAATTTTTTAAACGTAATATTAAATATTTTTTATATTTTAATAATATTATGGTCGTTTTTAATTTAAGTTTTTATTAATTAAACGGTATTAATATTAAAGAGTTTATTTAGTTTTTTATTATATTTAATACTTTTTTTAATAGTTTTATATATCTAAGCGTATATTATTTAGTTAAGGACTACGTTTTTATTAAAATCGAATTTAATATTAAATATTTCTAAATCTTTTTCGGTTTAAAAAAGTTCGGTATTTAAAACTTAGGGCTGCTTACCTTTATTAAAAAAAAATTAAATAAATATCGTTCGTATTATTTAATAGGTTTTTATAAAATCGACTTATTAAATAAAGATAATTAAAATATTACGGTTAATTAATTATAATAAGGTTTATATTAATAGAAGTCGGGGCTACGATATTTATAAATAATAATCGTTATAAAAATAGTTTTAATAAAATTATTATTTATAAATCGTAAAATAAATAAGGTTTTAATAATTAATCGTAATTTTATTAAATAAGTTTTTAGTAAAAATAATTTAAAGCGATCGTTAAATTTAATATAAGAATTAATTATTAAAAAAGTTATAAAAGTTTATTTTTAAGTTTAGCTTGGGTTATTTTATATATAAATTTTAATTATAAATATATCTTTTATAATATTTTATTTATTATTATTTAATAGTTTATTAAATAGTTGTTTATTTTATATTTTTATAATCGTCCGTTTTATTTATTTATAAGCGTTTATTTTTTATTTTATTATAAGATCGTAGTTACGTAATTTATTTATAATTCTTTATTTTAAAAAGAGCTATTTAAGTTTTTATTATTATATATATAGTATAGTAGCCGTTATAGGTCCTGTGGGGCAGGGCCTTAGTTTAGTAATGTATGTTGGGTCGTAATATATTTTTTTAAATTAATTAAAAAGCTAAATAATAACGTCGGTATAAAAACGACGCCGGTATATTAATTCTTATTAAATTATAAAAATACTTATTATTTTCGTATAGTAAGTAATTATAATAAGTTTATTAAGTTTAGAATTCTTGTAATAGCTTTATTTTTATTTATAAATTATTATAAAAATAATATTTTATTCGTTTATTTTAAAAAATATTAAAAAAATTAAAAAAAAGGTAAGTTAAATAAGATCTTATAAAATTTACTTTATATTTTCGATTTTTTCTTTAATTTAATTATTATATAATTTAAATTTATTAAAACTACCTCTTTTATTTTTACTTTTATTTACTTTTATTTTTATTAAAAAATATAAATATATATTACGGCCAGCTAATCGTAGTAAAGTTTAGGTTGATAAAAGTCGGGGCTACGATACTTATAAACAATAGTCGTCGTTAAAATAACTTTAAAAAAGCTATTATCTATAAGTTATTAAGTAAAAAAGCTTTGGTAATTAATTGTAATCTTATTAATAAGGTTTTTAATAAAAATAACTAAAAGCGATCGTTAAATTTAATATAAGAATTAATTATTAAAAAAGCTATAGAAGTCTGTCCTCGAGCTTAGCTTAAGCTATTTTATATATAAGTCCTAGTTATAAATATATTTTTTATAATATTTTATTTATTTATTATTTAACAGTTTATTAAACGGTCGTCCGTTTTATATTTTTATAATCGCCCGTCTTATTTATTTATAAACGTTTATTCTTTATTTTATTATATAATCGTAGTTATATAATTTATTTATAATTCTTTTATTTCGAGGGGAGCCGTTATTATTATATATATAATATAATAGCCGCCGTAAATTTTATAAAGTAAAGCCTTAATTTAATAATACGTATTAGGTCGTAATATTAGCTCCTCCCTTTAAAAATCTAGTCCTTAAGCTTATAAATAAGTTATTTATTTTTAAATTAAGGAATCATTAAATATTTTTATCGAAATATACTAATATTATTTTAAATCGAATTAAAAAATCGAAATCGAAAATAATTACGTCTCGTCGCCGTTTATTATATATTATTTGCTTTTTTAATAAAAATATAAAAATAATACCGTATTTAAATTATCGTTTTTAAAGCGTTTGTTATTTAATTCTTTTTAATTTTAATATTTATAAGATATATTATTATTTAAGTATTTTATGTAATATTTTTATTAATATTATTTATATTTATAAATTTTATAGATAGTTTTTTATAAGTCCTAATTAATAAATATAATAAATTGTTTAATAGTAAAATTTAATCGTTTTAATTATAAAAAATAAATAAAAGAGTCGCGGTTTTAAGAGAGAGTTATAAAGCTATAAAAAAAGCTAAAGCTTATTAAAAAACTTAAATTAAATTAAATAAATCGTTATCTAAATTAAAACGCTTTTATTTTTAAAAGCGAATAGTATTTAAAAAAAATCATATCGTATTAAAGGAATTTCTTAAGGATATTAAAAATATTTCTTTAGTAGCCTAGGAGGCGTAAATTAATAATATTTTTAGCGTTATTAATTAAGACGTCGTAATAATTAAGAGTTTTAAGTTTAAATTTAATTTTAATATTTTTTAAAAAGCTATTAAGAGTTCTAAAGGTTCGTAATAAGTTCTTATATATTATCTTTATATTTATAATCTTCTTATTTAATAAAGTATTTTTTTTATTTTTTTTTAATTCGGTAGTCGATAATTCGCTTAACCTCGTATTTTAATTTATTAAATTCGATAATAATACGATCTTTAATATATAAGCTTTTAAATACTAGTTTTAAAAATAAAATATAAAAAACTAAATAGTATTGTATCGTATTTAAAAGTTTTAATTTAAAATTAATTAATAAAACTTTTTTAATAATTTTAAAAGGTTTAAGTTTTTTATAATTTAATTTATTACTTAGTTGTTTTATTTTAATATTATAGTAAAAGAAATATATATTATCTCTTTTTTTTAAAATTAATTTATTAATTTTTAATTTATTGGCGTATTTTTTTATACGTTACTATATAAATTCGAGGTTTAGGGAGGCTTTTTTTTAAATCTTTTTAAGTTTATTTACGTTTATTACGGCTTTTATAGCTTATAATCCTTTACGTACTTTTTTATATATAATTAGTTAGAATCCGTAATTAAAATAAAAAAGGGATTCTTTTATATTTTTGCTAACTACGCTATTATATATAAACTAAGCTATTAATAATAATATTACTTAATTATCTTAATCGTAATTTATATAACAGCGGAAGTATATTTCGAAAATCTAATTAATCCTTTTTATTTATTTATCAGTTTATAGATAGAAAAAGGTCGATAGTTTATAATCTATACCGAGCTACGAAATTAGAGATTTTTAAAATTTAATAGTAAATAGCTTATTTTTATTGAATACTATTTTTTTAAATAAACTATAATTAATAATAACTATTTTAAGGAAGGTATATACTAATTCCTTAGTATTACTTATTTTTTTATATAGTATAAAATAGGTAAACTTAGTAAGTTAGTCGATAATAATTAAAATACTATTGTATTATATATTCGTTAATAGCTCTTTAGACTTTAATAGTTTAATAATAAAGTCTTAAGAGATTAAGTACTATGCCTCTAGGGGTATTAATAATAGTTATAGTTCTTTATAAGGCTTATAAAGGCTGTTTTTACTTTTTTTATAAATATCGTAGTCTTTAATAACCTTAATAACTTCTATTTTTATAGCGGTTTTATTATAATATTAATAAATCCGTTTCTATATTTTTATAATATTTTAATAACCGTATATTTAAATATTATAAACTTTTATAATAAGCTTAAAAGTTATTTTTTTAAACAGGTTAATATTAACTTTCCTAATTATTATAAAGAGTTTTATAATAAGTATAAAATTACCGTTATCGTTATATTTAAAGATTATTTATATTTCCTTAAGGATTATAACTTTATAATTAAGTTGTTTATTAAAAGCGTTTATTTTATTATTTTTTAAACCTTTTCGATAAATAATTCGAAAATTAAATTTAAATAGGAATTCGTTTTATTTAATTTATTATTTATTTAGATTTTTATTTATTATAAAGTTTATAAAGTTTTTATAATCTATATAAATAATAACTTCGTATTTAATATTTAAAAACTATAATCTTTATTTTTCAAAAGTTTTAATTATAATTATTAATTTTTTATCGTAAATTTATTAATTTAGTTTTACTTTATAAAATATTTTAAAATAAAATACGTAAAAATAAAGTACTTTTTATTAATTTCGTTATTTTAAAATAGCTTTTATAATAAAATCCGAGGCGTCGGTTTTAATTTTGAATAGTTTTTTTAAATCCGGGATTATAATTATTAGTTCCGAAGTAATTAAATCCTTAACTTTATTAAAAACCTTTTTATATTTTTTATTTTAAATAAAAGTTATATCTTTCTTTATTAAGTTATTAAAAAGTTTAATAATATTAATATAGTTTTTAAAGAATCGTCGGTAAAAGTTAACGAATCTTAAGAATAATTATATATTTTTAATATTAATAAATATAGCCTAATTTTTAACTATTTTTATTTTAAATATTTATATATAGATTTATCTTAACGTAATCGTATAGCTAAGGAAATCTATTTTTTATAAATAAAATTCGTATTTATTAAGCTTAACGAAAAGCTTTATATTTTAAAGTTTTTAAAATACTATATAGACGTATTTTTTATAAATCTCGAAATTAAAAAAGAAGATAAGAATATCGTCGAAATAAACGATTATAAAAATATTAATATACTTTTTAAATATATAATTAACTATTATTTAGAATATAGCGGGTATATTAATAAGTTTAAAAAGTATAACTTAGTATTTATAAAACTTTTTATAAGTTCGGAATGCCGTTTTTTATTTATTTCTTTTTTTAATTTTAATTTAGTTAAATACTTTTTTAAGGTTTATTATGGTAAATTATTAAACTTTATATAATATTTCCTTAAGTTCTGTAATAAGGGGTAATAAATAGTAATTTTTTTTAATAATTTCGTTAAGTCTTTTATAATTAATTATAAGTTTAAGTTTTTTTTTATTTTTCTTAAGTACGAAAAAGATTAGTACTTTTATTAAAAAGGATAATAATTTAATATAACCCTTTTTAAATCTATCGTCAATATACTTATTAAGTTTATCGCGTTCGAGTTAATTTATAAAATATAATAAATAGAACTTAAATTATATTCTTTTTTTTAATTCGATTTCTATATCCTAATTATTATATTTTAATAGTCCTATTTCTTTTTTTAAAACGAATAGTTTTATATAAATTTAGTATTTTTTAAATATAATTTAAAATAAGTCCGATCCTCGATCGTCCGTACTAAATATAAATATCTTAATAAATTTTATCGTTTTAATAAAAGCGATATATTTAATTTATTTTCGTTCGTTAAGTATTATATAAGACTTATTTAAACCTTTTTTTTTAAATCGTTTAGTAATTAAATTTATTTAATAAAATTAGCCGGTTTTTTAATTTATTTATAAATTATATTTTTATAATTACGAGATTTTTAAAATAATATTAATATCTCCGATCTTTATAATATTATATTTTAATTATTTTAATTAATTATTAATATATATTGTAAAGTATATAGTCTCTCGGTTAATATATTTATTATTATAATTAATTTATTTTTTTTTTACCGTTTATAAAGTATATAAGTTCGTTTTTTATATTTATAATAGTTTATATTTATTTACTATTTTTAATAAAATAAAAATTCCTTAAGCGCCGCTATTAATAATAACGCTTATATTATATCCGTTTATTTAGAATTTAAATTATGAATATTTTTTATTAAAAAGTATTATAAAATATAAAAACTTATTTATTTTAACTGCTTTTTAATATTTTTTTACGATTAACATATTTAGTTTTTTAATATTTTAAAAGCTAATACCCGCCCTTTTTTTATAAGCCGTTCGTAATTAGTTATTAAATCGGGACGCCTTTATTTTTTAATAAATAAATATAATATATTAATAATATCGTAAATATCGTTTATTTCTTTATTAATAGGTTCTTTCCCTTTAAAAAATAATTTATAATTTCTAAATATTTTAATATTAAATTATATATTTAAAATATATCGGTTATATAAGTAGTTTTTTAAGTCCTTAATAAGCTAATTTAATTCTTTTTAAAAACTTATAGATTTTTATTATTTTAGTTATTTATTTAAATCGGCTTTTTTTTTAATAATAAAATCGTTAATATTAGGTAATATTTTATAATCAATTTCTAATTAAATATGTCGTTAAGCGACGTCGTAAGGTTCGTCCGAGTTATAAAATAATTATTAACTTATTAATTATTCGTAATTTAATATATTAATATTATTTAAAAAGGGGTTGTAATTTAGTCCCTCGGTGCTAGATTCTATAAATATATTATTAATAATTTCTTTACTTAAATTATTTAACTTAATATTTTTTTTAAATATAGGAAAGTTTTATTTTAAACGGAGTATATCGTTTTTTATTATTATTTTAAATTATTTATATAACCACTATTATAAAATAATAAGGATTATTTTTATAATTAAATATTAAAAAATATAAACGTTTATTATATAATAAGCCTCGCTTAGTTCTTTAATATGTTAATAATAATATTTTTTTAATATTTAAAGTCCGTATATTAAATATATAATATCTATTTTTTTATCGATTTCGTATTTTAATTAGAGGAAGTCTTTTTTTATTTTAACTCTTAATCGTTTTTAAAATCGTTATTAAAATAGGGCGAGCATTGCTTTTATATTTAATTATTTCTTTTTTAATAATCGGCTAATTTTATAATAACTAGTTAAAATATAAATATAGTTTTAATTATAATTTTTTATTATTAAAAAGTAATATTTATAATATTAAATTATTTTATTAAGTATTCGTCGTATTATATAAATAGATTTATTTAAAATCCGTATTTTACAGGCTAGGATCTCGTTTTTTAATTAAAATAGGTCGTTTTTATTTTTAGTTATTATCTTTTTTTTTAATTTATTTTTTATTATCGTAAAAATTTACGCTTGGTTAAGAAAGTTAATAAGTTATATCTTAATTACTTTATATATTATTAATAATATTTAGATATACTCTTTATTATAATCTTCAATAGTCTTAAAGCGTTAAACTAGTTTTTATTTATTTATTATAATAAAGGTCTTATTAAAGGGTTTTTTAGGATATTATCTTAATTATTTTTTATTATTTTAATAAGTAAAGTAGTTATTATTATAATATACGGTCTAAGAGAGTAATTTATAAAATACTTTTTTAAAAATAATATTAATTTGTTTTTTAGGGATAGGTCGTTATTAAATTCGTTTAGGTTATTTATAGTCCTTAATTATATATCTTAGCTTATCGTAATTATAATATTTAAATTCTTTTTTTTAATAAGATTAGTTTCGATTTACTACGTTAAGATTTATAAATCCGTTATATTATCTGTAAATAATAGTTTATTAAAAATTATTATTCCCGTTATAACGGTTTTTTTAATTAAAATTACGTTAAAGTTATTATTAATATTTACGTCCTAAGTTAAGTTTTTATTTTCGTTTTTTTTTTTTTTTTTTTTTTAATATTTTTTTTTTTTTTTTTTTTTTTTTTTTTTTTTTTTTTTTTTTTTTTTTTTTTTTTTTTTTTTTTTTTTTTTTTTTTTTTTTTTTTTTATAAAAGCGATTATCGATTTTGATTACGAGTTTAGTATATTAAAGGAAATCTTTTAGTTTATTAAGTTTAATAATTTCGTTTTTAATTTCGTTTTTTAGTTTTTAATAGAATATAAAAACTTTAATATCGTTAATAAAATTAAATTAAGCGTTAAGTCGTTTAAACTTAATTAAATAGTCCTTTATTAATTTAGTTTATTAAAGTTATAATATATCGTATTTAGTTTATCGTTTTTTATTTAAGTTTTAAAAAAGCAATTTAAAGGCTTTTTTAAATCTTTTAAAATTATAATAAATATCTCGTACTTCGGTAAAGTATTTATTAAAAATTTCTTTTTTAAAATATTCTTTTTAAAAAGGTTCAAATTATTTAAAAGCTCGTTTTTTAAAAAAATTAGCGGCGTATATAATTTTCTTAACTTCGTTATTAAAGCCTTTTTAATAAAAATTTTAAAAGTTTTTAATTTAAATTAAAAATCCTTTTAAAATTTTAAAAATATTATTAAAAATAATAAGTATATTAAGTTTAAGTTTTTATTATCCCTTAATAAAAAGAGTAATAATAATATTAACGGTGCTTTAAAACGTATTTACTTATTCGGTAAGTTTTAAAATCTTTTTACATTTAATATTAAATCTTTTAAATATAATGTTAAATAGTTTTTATATATAAGCGATATCGTAATCGTTTTTAATTTAAGCTTTTATTAATTAAATAATAATAATATTAAAAAAATCCGTTAGTTTTTTATTATATTAAATATTTTAGTTAACGACGCGGCGTATTTTAATATATATTATTTTATTAAGGACTATGTCCTTATTAAAATTATACTTAATATTAAGTATTTTTATATTTTTTTCGGCTTAGGCTAGCTCGGCGTTTAAAGCCTAAGGCTTTTTATTTTTATTAAAAAAGGATTTAATAAATATTGTTTATATTATTTAATAAGTTTTTATAGAGTCGACTTATTAAATAAAAGTAATTAAAATATTACGGTTAATTAATTATAATAAAGTTTAAGTTAATAAAAGTCGAGGCTATAATATTTATAAATAATAATCGTTGTTAAAATAATTTTAAAGAAACTATTATCTATAAGTTGTTAAATAAAAAAGCTTCGATAATTAATCGTAATCTTATTAATAAGGTTCTTAATAAAAATAATTAAAAGCGATCGTTAAATTTAATATAAAAATTAATTATTAAAAAAGTTATAAAAGTCTATCTTTAAGCCTAGCTTAGGCTATTTTATATATAAATCTTAATCGTAAATATATTTTTTATAATATTTTATTTATTTATTATCTAACGGTTTATTAAATAATCGTTCGTTTTATATTTTTATAATCGCTTATTTTATTTATTTATAAGCGTCTATTTTTTATTTTATTATATAATCGTAATTATATAACTTATTTATAGTTCTTCCGTCTTAAGGGGAGCCGTTATTATTATATATATAATATAATAGCCGCCGTAGGTCCTATAGGGCAGGGCCCTAGTCTAGCAATACGTGTTAAGTCGTAATAATATAATCTATTTAAAAAATCTTTTTAATTCTTAATCGCACGGTATTTTAATATATTTTTATTAAAAACTTATTCTTTACGCTTACGAAATTAAATAAATTACGTAGTTTATTTTTTATATTTTTATTTTATATTCGTATTTTATAAATTACAAAATAAATATAAATATTATATTATTTAATTATAATTAATGTAAATATAAAACAAATAAATTCGCGTATTTATTATAAAAAATAAATAAAAAAAATAAAAAAAAAGTCTTTTAAAATTTAAATAGGTATAAGAAGAAAGAATCTTTTTGATAGTTAGTAATTAATTTAAATAGTTCTATTAATAAACTATTTAAAAGTATTATTAACGTAATAAACGCCTTTTTTTTAATAAAAAATTAAAAGATTAGAAATTTTTTATTTTATACGGCGTTAAAAATCGTTTTTTTTTTAGTTTTTATAAAAATTAAAATAATACGATTTTTTTATTTTATATAATATTAAAAGGTCGCTCTTTTTATTTTATAATAGCTTTATTAATTTATAATAATAAAATAAAACTATTAATTAGTATTAATTTACGTAATTATAAAGTGATTTATTTAATTAAACCGTAATAACGAAGGGTTAATTACTTTTATGTTAATCTCTACGTGAAGTAGAAAAAAGAGGTTCTAACCGGTAATTAGATCGTCGATTAAACACTAATATAAAGACTTTTAAATAGCCCTTACGCTAGCGCTAACTCGAGGTCGAATTAGGCTTCTAATTCAACACTATTAAAAAAGTTTTTTTATTTTTTAATTATATAACGTTTTAATATATTTTTATTAAAAACTTATTTTTTATATTTATGAAATTAGTTAAATTATATAGTTTACTTTTTACGTTTTTATTTTATATTTATATTTTATAAATTATAAAATAAGCTTAAATATTATATAATTTAATTATAATTAATATAAATATAAAATAAATAGATTTATATATTTATTACGAAAAGTAATAAAAAAATAAAATAAAAAAAGGGTTTTTTAAAATTAAAAAAAGTATAAAAAAGAAAGATTTTTTCAATAATTAATAATTAACTTAAATAGTTTTATTAATAAATTATTTAAAAACGTTATTAACGTAATAAACGTTTTTTTTAATAAGAATTTAAAAATTAAAAACTTTTTATTTTATATAATATTAAAAAGTCGTTTTTTTAATTTTTATAAAAATCTAAAATAATTTGATTTGATTTTTTTATTTTATATAATATTAAAAAGTCGCCTTTTTTATTTTATAAAAGCTTTATTATTTTATAATAGTAAGTCAAAATTATTAATTAATATTAATTTATATAATTATAAGGTAATTTATTTAATTAAACCGTCATAACAAAGGGTTAATTATTTTTATATTAATTTTTATATAAAGTAAAAAAGGGAGGTTTTAATTATTAATTAAATCGCTAGTTAAACGTTAATATTAAGACTTTTAGATAGCCCTTGCGCTAGCGCTGACTCGAGGTCGAATCAGGCTTTTAATCCGACATTAAAATAATCGATTTTATTATTATTTTTTTATTAACCTTTTTACTTACTTATATATCTTACTTACTTTGAGACTTTTAAATATAACTTAGCGGCCTATATTTATACTAATTAATAAAAATATCAAACTTATATATATTATAATAATAAATACTAAAATAATAAATGTATTATACATATATTTCTATATATATAAAGCTTTATATATAAAAGAAAATTACTTATTAAATATAATACTTTTTAATTAATTAATTAAAAACTAATTATTTGAAATATAATAAGTAGTAATATAATTTAGTTTTGTAATAATTTATTATAAAGAGGTTCGATTCTTTTACGTACGGTTTATTAAGAAGGCGTAATAAATAAGGCTAGCCTTATCGGACCTGAGGAATCTCTAAAGATTACGTAAGCGGGCCGTCTAGCCCGGTCGATACTATAAGGCTTTGATCGAGGCTTAGAGGTGCCCTCGGGACGATTGCCTTATAGAAGAGGCGCACTTATCACATATACGTTCTTACGTATAGGAGGCCTCACATACGCGTTGGTAAATAACATCTAGCTGGGTGCGCCACCTTTTAGTTCAGTTAGTTAGAAACTAACGTTCTGAACGTGACAGAACGAATTAATATATTTGAAAAGTAACACAGAGTGGCTGCCTCAAAAGCCGGCGCCAGGGTCCTGAAAGGCTAACACCCTTTGCCCAGCCAGGATGTTATTTAATTCTTAAGAAATACGACGCATTAGAAGTATAATCCATGGAGACATAACTTAGAGTTACGTATTGTGACTAGCTGCTTTATAGGAATTGGAAACAGAAAACCGTAACGCCACCCCTTCGACGTCCGAATCGTCTTATAGTTTTCCTGAGGCGTTTTTGAGACGAACTCTACTAACAAGCCTCCCAAAACCTCTCCCCGGAAAGGCCGGCGTTTAATAATCAAGTGACCGCAGGAAATGAAAGCCCAAAAGTTAAATACTCGCACTAAGTAAGAGTTCACCGACGGATAGTGCGGCATATTAACTAGATCTCCATCAAGAGTTCCAATTGAAAAAAGGTATTTAACGCTGTTTTCCTCTTCGATCATTCACCGTCGATCCACGCAAGCAAGCCTTAGATTTCCGCAGCCTTTTGCTAGGTATTCTATTAACATCATGCGGCCTTTGACCCTTCTCACCATCGCTGCACTCGGCACAAGGTATGAGTCCTATGTCGCAAGAGTCCTGTGCCTAATCGGTTAACGACACGTGGGATAGCGCTTCTGGTGAAGTAAATTATGCGGCTTGCTTTACTCAGGGTATCCACAACCCCGATCCCGCAACGCATATGACACTCACTCAGTCGTGCTGCGGCTCATTCGCAACCCGCCTCTACAATACAGTAGGTTTATTCTTCTTTATAAGAAGCAACTACAGAAGCAAATGCGAAACTGTAAGATTACTAGACGTTAACATATTTATAGACTAGTTACATGTGTGAGATATATAATGGTGAAGTGGATGAATTTTGTAAATGTTGTAAGGGATTTAAGGAAGCAGGTATAGAGATAGGCTGCACACCTGCGTAAATAACTCACAAGGGTTATATTCAATTTCACTTTCAAATTTCATTATGTATAAGTTGCTTTTTTTTTTAAAAAAGAGTCTTTAAATACTACATACAATCGGATTATTATAGGAATAAAAGGGTCAGAGCTGCGTTTAGTAAATACTTTCAGTATAGACATCGAGCACTTTTGAAACCCTCGGTTAGGTAGAGTACGTTCCTTATCTTAAGTGACTTGACTTCTCTTGTTAGGTACATTACGTAATGTGTAGAGCAGCTTATCTCTGCATTGCCCTATATCCCTAACTCGTCGTGCTCCTATACCCCGTCCCGAGTTACAAAAGTCTCGTACCTCCAACGCTGGAAAGGGAAGTCCTGCCTCCTTAGGAACCCCCCCTAGGGACCCCACGTTTGGGCGAGTCTGGAATTTATAATCACACAATTTCTCCCCGCTGCCATCTGCCCATCGGAGCACGCTGTCCTTCTTGATTCATCTACACCCGCAACGGATGACACTTGATCCGTCAATCATCCACTCCATCATTATTGCAGCAAGACTGTAAAGAACCTAGCCCTAGTCGCTCTTAGAAGAAACGACCTTTTGCGCATCTTCTCATCGCTCGAATCTGGCTGCTTTTCCATCCTCAGCCCCATCCTCGCGCTCGAAGTCTACTACACTGCTGCTGCATGGAGCGTTCACGTCGGAATCGCTTTGGAGGCTACACAGACTGTTGCCGACACTGGCGAAGGGTACCCGGTAAGTCAAGTATGCCAGATGTGAGTCGTCGTTCGTTCCCCACGCAGATGAAATCGTTCAGACACATGCTGTATGCTAAATGTCATTTGATGTGTTGCAGAGATTGCTGCTACGTCAACGCCCACCAAGAATAATCCAAGGCGCGGAACGTCCATCAATTGATTCCGTCTGGTCTAGACATTGAAAGCAGCTTTCTTCCCATATACTCAGAGCAACTCTCGTGGGCAATGCCACCGAATCGGGTCAGGGTCGTCAAGGGCTCCTGTTGGTCCTGCAAAAAGCGACGCATCAAATGCAGTCTTTCCAAGCCAGCTTGCCGACAATGTGTTTCCGTCGGCGCCAACTGCGACTACAATAGCCGCCTAATCAGATGGAGCACGCGACCAACCCCACATGTCCCTGTGGCCTACTGCATTCCGCGGAACGACTTGCACTTGACCGTCTACCTCGAGGTTTGCGAGCGGCGTGCTCTCGACTATTTTCATCTCCGCGTCTGGCCCCTTCTATCCACAGCAGAGGAACCGTGTGCCCCGCCAAGTTCGGTCGTTCTAGAGCACCGGGTCGTTCTACTTGCCGCTTGTTTGCTGTCCGACTCTCACAGGCTGTTGCAAGACGGTACGTATGACCATGATACGCTCGGTAAGAAGCGGCTAGAGTGCTTGGCTGCTGTGCGAGCTGAGATAGATCGCTGCAGCGCCGAACCCAAGGGAAACGGACTCATGATTGGGCTTCTGTTCGCAGTCATCCTCTTGTACTTTGACGATGGATACATGGGGTGTATCCTCAAATCGGCCTCTACCTCTAGCCACTATCACGGCATTCTGGCCATCCTCGGGCACCTAGGCGGCATCGAGGCAGTAGTGCCGACGGCCCCCGAGCCGCTGCGTATGCTGCTCTCAGAGTTCGCGACGACGGATCTCACAACTTCCATGGTTCAGGGTAAACCTCCGGCGTTTCCTCCCGACGTGTGGGACCTACTCGATCAGGGCCCTGTTTGGTGGGGTCGTGACCCGTTGAGTAGATGTTCCCTTGCGGCCGTCTTTCGCGAAATTGCCGAAATGGGCCTGTTCTTGCAAGCAACGACGAGCAAGGCCGAGGAGTTGTCAATCGATCGTATCCGCGCATTCGAAGCCGCCCTCCGCCCCGTCTATGCACCACTAACTATCGCAGATTCCGACGGCCGGAGCCCTTCCGAGGCATCCGACTGCTCTTTCAGCGAAGCCGAGGCTGTGCATGCCTTCACTCTCGTCCGCATATTCCAACACACTGCCCTACTGTATCTGTACAGAGCCATTTGTGGCCTCCCAACTCGTCACCCGCTTGTCCAGCAGCATGTCAAATCCTGCCTCGCTTGCATCTTTGAGATCCCTCGCGAGGCAAACAACCTCAACTGCGTCGTTTTTCCGCTCTTCATCGCCGGGGCCCACGTCTCATCCTTGGAAGAGCAAAAGGCCGTGCTAGGCATGGCTGACGTGATTTACAATGACATGCGGTTCGCTTCCATCGAGGCTGTCAAGTCTTTCTTCAAGGCTGTTTGGCCGTCCGACTCTGGACACAAGGCTTGGCTTGAGATCTTTAGCCACCTCAGTCCACATGTCTTGGTGCTATGAGTTTGTTGATTGGCCTGCGATCGAGCCGCATGTGGTGGAGGAACTCAGTATGCACACACGCAGCGACGCTTGATTGGAGCAAGCACATGTTCAAGAGTCATCTTGTTGATAAAATTTGAATTGAAAAACTTGGTTATTGCAACCGAAACTCTCAAGCATGTAATCTAACCTCGAGGTACGCTGTAATTTCACTTCAAATGATTGAAATACGAAGGCCGTGCCCAGGGACCCTCTTTTCGCGGAAGCGAAAGCAGACCTCGATTTTTATAGCAAAACGAAACCATTCTCTTCTTACTAGGTAATCTGCAGAAAAGACTGTAATGCACACTACAACGAACAAACGACGCAACGAACCGAGACTACCAGACCTCACAGCTAAACATAACTAGTGGGCTCTACAACTTGCTGCCCCTGTTACCGCAGCACGATTCTGCGGCTTCGGGCTTGGCAAATGCATTCTTGGATGTTTTGTCCACTGCGACAATCGAAGGGGGCACCCAGAGAGCCGGGTTTCTCTTGAAGAAATTGGAAGCCCTGATCATGACGCCAACGGGCTCGGCAGGCATAATGGGGAAATCCTCAGTGCGCGGGAAGTGGGTCAGACCGAACTGGATATAACAGACAATGTCGGTATTTTCAACCGGCTCCTTCGTACTGACCCAGTCTACAATGGTCGTGTTGTGCGGGTGGCCCTCGTCGCCGCTCGACTGGCACACATAGTCACCCGCGGGGAACAGTTCATAGTCCTTGTACGGGGTGACCCACAGCGCCTTGCGGGTGAAGGCGGCCCTCCTCTCCACCATACTTCCCGGCTTGGCCAGGATGGTTGGGCAGTTGGTATTGAGGATCTTGTAGGCAACTGGCTTCTTGGCCACGGGATTGATGCTGTTGGGGTTGATGAGGTCCCAGGAGCGACCTGTCTCGTGGCAATACTCTGCGCCGCCGGCCGTTCGAATGGGCGTCTTCTTGCAGTAGAAGCCATTGCCATATAGGTTCCCGGGAGACCCGAGCGGATCGTCGGAAAGTGCAGCATCATTCTGCACAACTGAATTGTTGGGGCCGTCGATTTCAGGGTCCACGCGCAGGGAGAAAATGTGTTGGTGGTTGTGAGCGTTGATGGACGGGGCGACTTCTGTACCGTATGGGGCGGCCGTTTCGCTCGGGTGCAAACAGTAGGTGTTGAGCATCCCTGTCAATTTGACTTCCAGCTTGTAGGTGCCATCCAAGAGAAATGTGTGGTAGAAGCAGTACTCATAGTTCGCCGCCGTGATGATTTGCGAGATGATGAGCTTACGGTCGCGGGCGGAGATGACGGTACCGTCGCGGTAGTCGGTGTGCTTATAAAGGAGGCCATTGTCTTCTTCATGAACGCAGATGGCATTCTTGACAACAGCCGCCTCTCCGCTCCCGACAGCCATGATGGCATCCATGTAGTGGATAGCACCCTTGCAGTCACATCCCAGCTTGAGAGAATTGGTCATGAAACCAGTACCATACTCGCCCACGTCGAAGGCGTGCTTGCGTTGATGCGGGGGGTCGGGATTGCCGTAGGGAACCACCATCTCCACCACACTGATGCGGTTGAAAAGGCTCCGCTCGCGCCCCTCGTCGTTAATCCTGACGTCGGAGAGAACAATACCCTCGCGGTAGTTGAAGCCGATGTGCATCTTGAGTCCAGCCCAGGAGATTTCGTTACCATCCATGCGGAAAGAGACGCCCTGGGGTTGGCTGATATCAATGGGTTTGAGTCTGTCCTGGTAGCCACTGCTGATGAACTCGGGCATGTAGTTGTGCTCCTTGAGAGACACCTTGGTGCGCTCGCCATTGATGAGGCGGATATCGACAGATAAGACCTCGGCCTTTTCAGTGTCGACGACTACCGAGAAATCCAACGGGTGGGCGTACTGGTTATCATTGGGGGAACTACGGTAGTACACAATGCCCTGCTGAAGGCGGCGGTCAGTGCCCCATCGGTGATCGAAACCGATGGCCCACGCGTCAATAAAGACCTTTGACATGTCATAGATGCCGATTTCGCGGCAAGCCTGGATGACACGAGAGTCGGCACGAGTGACGGTCTCGCAAATGTCCAGGTCCTCCAAGGTGAGGGTGGGGGCGACGTCCGAGACATCCCTCCAGAGCTCAACCTGGGAATTCTCCAGGTTGACAACAACCTCGGACACCTGGGAGGTTCCCTTGGTAATGACGATGGCGAAGGCGCGGCGTTGGGGGCGAGGACCCTTGCCGGATTTGAATACACCGTATTCGTTCTTTTTGGGTTCGCGCAAAGTCAGGCAGTTGAACTTGAGGGCGTTGGGACCAGCATGGTCCTTGATGAGTTTGGCAGCAAGCCGGATCTCTTCAATCGATAGCTGATCTACACGCACGAGATTACAGTCAGCTCGAGAACCACGATAGAGTTGAGGGTACATCGGTCTCCATACCCAGAGGATGTGCTGGAAGCTGAGTAGACGGATTTGGAACGATATCGCTGGGCTCTTCCCGGAAGATTGTGTAACCGGCTATAGAAGAGGTGTCTGCAATCATGATGGGGGCTATCTGGGCTGTGCAAATATTCCATACGGTGGTATTTGTGGTTCGACCAAGGTCGATTGTCGATTGGAGATGAGGTGGGGCCTGGTGGACAGGATAGAGCTTTGGTGAGAAGACGATGCAAAGTAGTTTCTGGGTTGGATCCTTGGAGAGGGGAAAGTCAAGCCAAAATCAAAGTGACAATGCGGGTAAGTCTACTTATACTTGGGAAAGTGATGCTGGCGTACCTGCGTACGTGACAATCGTACGAGGGCTAGCCGCAGCATGTTGTGGAGTTATCCTCATGACAAGCGTAAGATAGATTGCAATGTGCAGCATTCATGTCAAGATCACAGTGCAAGTAATTCTGGTGTTTTCGTGGCCCCTGTCGCCGGGTGTCCCTGTCCAGCAACATGCACTTTGCGGTGTCGGCGCTGCTTAGCTCCATTCTGCAGCGGAACAGCGGAACAGCGGAAAGCGGAGGTTCGGGGGCAAAATACCGGGCCGGGATGTGAGGAATGGACCGGCACTGCTGCCGGTCGGTCACCAATTCAACACTTGATCTCAATGCCAGGGGAAGGCGATTGGGATTTAGAGCGTAAGAGCGCGCCTGCGACCAAGATGGGGATTGGAATCTGCGTGTGTTAGTGTAAGGGCGAATGTGAATGAAAGTGAGCATGAGGTGTCTGGCCAAGACTAAGGGATGCCATGGACAAATTACTTACTGCAATAGGAAGGAAAATCGTCCATGCAACCCCAACCCCATAACCGGGGGGACCCCGGGTGCGCGGCTGAATCGGCATTGGTTTGGTGGCGCTAACGGAGCGGTTGGCGGGCGCTCGTGCCAAGGCCGGCGGGCTTCTTTCTCCGCCGGTCCACCTTACGTCAGCATGGGTCCCGCTAATTAGTAATGTGGCACCTGTTTGCGTTGCTTACGTACACCCGAAGCATGAAGCAGCTGAGATTGTATTTGCAAGGTACGAAGTAGATGCGATATCGGCATTTTCAAGAGTCAATAATGCGAAAATTGAGAAAACACATAGTTCGCTTTAACTCTGAGACATGTTATCCAAACCGAACAGAGCTACCAAAGTATTTTGATACGTAGAAATAAATACAGAACCAGAGGTGACATTTTCCGCCCTACAGACGTATCTACATTTTGAGAGGAATCGGAGAAACTGTCACCTCGGCATTTTGAGCCTCAATGATTCGTTCTGCTGCGTCTTCAGTTTTGAGATACGTGTGCCGCCCCTTAATGACCCAGAAACCAAGAGTCACCACCATCATGACCCCAAAGACTGCGATTGCGTAATTCATATCTGCCGGCGCCGGGTTAGGTGCTGACGGGAAGAAGAAAAAGACCGTGGTGATGGCACAGTAGATTACCGAGATCCAGTTGATCGCAGGCCCAAGTCGTCCCAGGCTGAACTCTCCAGGCGGGAGCTTGTCACGCCCGACGAGAAGAAGAGTCAGGATGGGCATCCCATACGAGATGGTCAGGGCGATTGTGCTGACGCTGAGGATCGCTTCGAGCACCGTGTTGGCAAACATGTAGAGCACGCCAACAACCCCGATAATGGCCCCCTGAAGCCATAACGCCCGTGCCGGCACTCTCCATGCCCGATTGACCCCGGAGAAATAAGTGCTCCACGGCATTCCGCCATCTCGCGCAAAACCCCAGGTCAGACGGGAGGCGGTGGTGACGATGCTGATGGCCTGACCGAGACCGTTGAAAATGAATAGAGAGAGCAACACAGTGGCCCCCTGAAGCCCGATTGCCTCATGACACAGGTCCATAAAGGGGAGACCAGTGGGGGGGTTCAAGATGGTGTCGAGATTCTGGATGCTGAACAAACAGACCACCATAAAGATGAATCCAGTGACGGCCCCCAAGGTGACTGAAAGCCATATCACGCGTGGAATGTTCTTGCGAGGTGCCGGTATCTCTTCAGCCAGGTGGACGGCCGAGTCAAAGGCTGTCAGACCGTACGCGGCCTGGAGAAGGCCCGTAAACCACGTCACCCCGTCTCCCCAGCCAGTCTGGTTGATCCATTGACCAAACACGAATGAGGCTGGCTGGAAATGCAAGTCTGATCGTACACCGACAGAGATGAGCAGCGCCAGGCTGAAGATGAAGAAGAGTCCGATGAAGCAGATTCCGACAAAGTTGTTAAAGGCTGGTAGGATGGCATCTTTCCTACAAGCGACGAGGTTGGCGACCGTGAGCAAGAGAGTTAGGGCGACATAGAGCAAAAAGTTGATCCACCCAACGCCAGCCTCTGACCAGTCCGGCACAAAGAGAACCTTCATGCTCAGAATAAAGTTGGTCATGAAGGCAACCTGCGAGGCAGAAAGCGTCCACCACCCAAACGTATTGATCCAAGCGCAGAGGTAGGACACGAAGCGACCAGAGGGCCACAGCCGAAAGATCCAATACGCCTGTCCCAACGCCGTCGGCATACTGCTGCAGAGCTCGCCCAGCGACACAGCGACGCAGATGTTGCAGAATAAAACGAGGACGAGACCCCAGAGGATGGCGACGGGACCGCCGCTGGTGATGCCGCTCGACAGCCCTTGCGCAAAGGTGGACCAGGTTCCCAAGACCGACACGGCGAGGAAGAGCATGCTCATTGTGCCGAATTTTCGCGAGAGGGCCTGGTCATGGCCGAGGTAGGCGAGATCCTGCGCATCTTGAGCGTCCTGGTCGGCCGTCTTGAAATGGTTGAGCGGTGGGTTCGATTCCGGGTCATTTTCCATGGCGTGAGAGAGGTATCCGTTTGATCGGTCCAAAGGCGAATTCGTCTCTTGGTTGTTTGATCAACTTTGGTGTTTATATTTCGCGCGGAGAGCTTTTCCAACTTGTTGTCATGGGACGCGAGAGACGTTTGCTGTTCGGAGCACGTAGTCGCTTGCGACGAGAGTTTTGGATGCCTTTTGTATACAATGCAAGGATGGGATGCAACCAAATTTCCCCCCTGGAAATGATAAGAAGGCGGATGGCTGGCAAGGTTGCAATCTGCTTGGTAGATCAATGTCGCGCGCGTTCACTCTGCTTTGCCCTGGTGGCAGCACCCGATATTCGAATCAGGATACATTGGGCCGTATCAAAAGAATGGTGTGTTGTAGATTGGCAGGGTCGAATAAGAACGCACTGCGCGTAAAGTGCATGGCATGTACATGTGTCTACCCACTACTTTACCTAGCTGTTGCGCTCCCGCTGAGCATAGTACAGGAAAGTGGTCCGGCAATCTTTTCCGTCGAAATCACGGCCCGGTCGACAAGTTACTTGAATAAGGTTTGACAGTCGTTGAGTCGTTGAAAACAATTGATCTCAAGGACTGGTCGTCTCCAAGTGTCCGTATCTGTGTGGTTTACTTTCTCCCACTATCACGAAACAAGGTTGCGTTATCTTCAGTAATTACGTACGAGTTGGACGGTTCACACTCTCAAATCGCGGGGTGAGACCCACACAACTGGTATCGGCGTGTGATTCCCAAGATGCCTGGATTGAGTTAGTGCCCCCATCAACCCGTCATGGGTAGCCCCGGCTAGATCGCCATTTACCAAGACCAACTCAAGCTAACTGGGTCTTTGAGCTGATAAGAAGCCCCTCCTTGGGCCCTTGGCCCCCTCGCCACCGGTTGGGCTTTGGAGTGAGTGGCCGGATACCGCGGGGCAAATGTAACTACTGCCCGGCATGTCATCTCTTATGTCTGCCCTGGAGGAAAGCGGAACATGGACTGTGCCTTGCGCTTGTGCATCGCGGTTTGCAATGTTCAAACACCTTCTCCGCAAGGTCACTTCTTAAGATGCTACTATGCTGATCAGGGTGGTTGTGGATAGCAGCAATCACCCCACCTACAAAGCTTGAATCAGCGCTGCGAGATGGAACGGGGTCTGGAGAAGACCAGGGCCGGCTGTTTCAATTGTTGCCCTGTCTTGTTGGCCCGGCATTGCTTGGTCCTGGTCCAGTGGACATGAGAGTTTCTGATGGACTCGATACATTAACATCGTGTAGGGACTGGCTGACCATCTTATCCCCGGATGTTGGTGGTTCGTTGCTGACAAGTAAGCCTGTTTAATGGTAATACGCAAACGCGGCCGGCCCCAAACAGGGAAGTCTCTGGACAGATCTGTCATTCCTTGAACTCCATCATGAATCCTGTAGGCACATCGGAAAGCTTACTTGCGTGAGCAGGGATGCGTTCTTCCCTCGAGCCGGCATTCATCATAGGCGCAATCCTGATCGACGGGTACTTGTACGTCTTTCTTATTGAACCACACATCAGGCTACTCCCACGGTCTGATCAAGCCAGAGTACGACGCGGGGGCAAGCTCATAAAATTTGCATGAAGTTAAGCATTTAGTAATAGATAGTCCGTAGATGAAGCCAGGGGTTGAGCCCACGGCGGAATCACCCAACTGCTTATCACGGACTGTTGAAACTTGGCTCTAGGCTGAAAGATACGAGGTAAGACATCTGGTGCTGCCGCCATCGGACTACTCGAGGAGCTTTCGATATAGACTAGACCGTGGCCTAGTTTCTTTCCTGATTGAGCCTTGCGCTCAGCCATCTTGATCGATTTGATCTGATAGACTGGTACCAGCTATGCGGCAGGATTCGGGAGCACCCTGGTTCACTGGTCCCGGTTTGCCTTTGGTTCTTTGGCGAGCTAAGGCTGGTACCTGGCACGTGGGATTACCGGGGATAATACTTTGGCCCAATTTCTTTCCTATTTCGTCCCGTCATACAACCCTCCCTTTTTGTTGGTTTGTCGGGGACTCGACTAGCCGTCGGGAAGCATCTCCACCATCATCGTACACGATGCACCGGACAAAGATATCCGGCATTGATCTGCTTTGGACCTCAACCTGTTGCAGATTACAAACTGGCAACTGATCCCCCGCACAGTGCTTTTTCCTAGCGTCCATGGCCACCGATGGAAGATAAACAAATACCGGGCCGGGCATCTCTTGTTCTCCACAATGTGGGTTACAGTCAGATAATCGGGGATTAATGGTGACATTATTCGTCCCTCGGGACCAGCAACCGCAATCGGAGGCCCTTTACTCATCAGCCATTGGCAAGTCGCGGAGGACTTATGTGAAACGAGAAACTTCTCGTGCATTGCCACGGAATGCTTCTGTGGAAACGTAACTGACGTGAAGGAACTTCCCCTTCTCTTTGCACGGCACCACATTGTCCAAGTCACACTCATACAATGGCTTCTATAGAGTTGACTGCCCCCAATGGGAGGACATACCTCCAGCCAACAGGATTATTCATCAACAACGAATGGGTGGAATCTTCTGACGGGGGCAAAATAGCCAGTGTCAATCCCACGTGAGAGATCAGGAGCCCGTGAGAAGCCCGCCAACCCCATTGCTGACCTAGTGACGCAGCAACGAACAAGAAATCATCTCCGTATACGCAGCAACGAGCAATGATGTTGACAGAGCCATTCAGGCAGCGCGGAAAGCCCTCCATCACCCAAGCTGGAGAGACTTGCCTGCGTCAGACCGCGGAAAATGCATGGCGCGCCTTGCCGGGTTAATGGAGGAACACCGTGAGACGCTGGCCACGATCGAGACGTGGGACAATGGCAAGCCGTACTCGGTATCCCTCAATGAGGATCTCACCGAGGCCATTGAGACCTTGACGTACTACAGTGGTTTTGCGGACAAGGTATTCGGCCAGGTGATTGAGACGACGTCCGAAAAGTTTGCGTACACAGTCCGTGAGCCAGTGGGAGTTTGCGGCCAAATCATCCCGTAAGAAACCACCATTTTTTTGCATCCTCATATCAAGTACTGACTCATGATAATCATCGCAGCTGGAACTATCCCCTGGCAATGGCCGCGTGGAAGCTTGGCCCCGCCTTGGCCTGCGGCAACACAATCGTCCTCAAGCCGGCGGAGCAAACACCACTGTCCATCTTGTACTTTGCCAATCTCGTAGTGGAGGCAGGGTTCCCGCCTGGTGTGATTAACATCGTCAACGGTCTTGGAGCTGTCGCAGGCGCAGCTCTTGCATCCCACATGGACGTGGATAAGATTGCCTTTACAGGATCAACCGGCACTGCGAAACAAATCATGAAGATGGCGAGTCACAACTTGAAGAACATCACGCTTGAGACGGGTGGGAAAAGCCCGTTGATCGTGTTTGATGACGCCGACCTGGACTTGGCTGTCCACTGGGCCCACGCCGGCATCATGTCGAATCAAGGCCAGGTCTGCACCGCCACATCGAGAATCCTAGTGCAGGACACCATCTACGATAAGTTCTTGGCAGCTTTCAAAAACCAGGTCATCAAGATCTCCAAGGTCGGCGACCCCTTTGAAGAAAGCACGTTCCAAGGGCCCCAGGTCACCAAGGCCCAATACGACAGAATCCTCTCCTACGTCGACATTGGCAAGAAGGAGGGCGCAAAGCTCGAGCTCGGAGGTCAACCTCACAAGCCCGGCACCCCTGGGTACTTTATTGAACCTACCGTGTTTACCGAAGTCAGTCCCCAGATGAGAATCTTCAAGGAGGAAGTGTTTGGCCCGTTTGTCGTCATCTGCCGTTTTCATTCCGAGGACGACGCCATTGCCCTGGCCAATGACTCGCACTACGGTCTTGGCAGCGCTCTGTTCTCTTCGGACCTTGCTCGTGCGCATACCGTGGCGAAGAGAATCGAGGCGGGCATGGTGTGGATCAACTCGAGCAACGATAGCGATTGGCGCATTCCTTTTGGTGGTGTCAAACAAAGCGGTATTGGGAGGGAATTGGGGGAGGCTGGTCTTGCTGCCTACTCGAATATCAAAGCGATTCATGTCAATCTTGCTAGACAGTCAAAATTGTAGCATGCGATTACTTTGGTTCAGTTTTCTAGTTTAAGATAATGCTGAATGACGACATTTTGGATACTCAAGCCGTGGATTTACTTAAATCAAATTTTGGTGAGTATAATTGAGAGAAACCTGTCCACCATGTCACTTTCTGTTCTGTCTATAAAACTGAACATGGGCCGTCAAGGAGGTCAGAACAAATCATCGCCACAGCATGGGTCACTTTTTGTTGATTGTCAGAAAAGTCTTTCTCTCAAGGGAAGTAAGTCATGTCAATCTCTAGTTTCTAAGGTTCATATGACATGTAGAAGGAAAGGTTTTACATGAGTAAGACCATCTTGGGCAAAGTGAAATCTGGAGAGGGGTATGCTCAAAATAGGCACATAATCCAGAGCATTCGCCTCTATGCTGGTTTACGGCAATCACTAGGCGGGTTTAGACGGCCGAGGAGTTGCTCAGTCTGAAAAGATTTATAATAATAAGTCGTTGCTCCTAGCTCTGGCAAATTAGGCACCTCCGTGCATTATGCATAGAAGTGGCTTCTTTGAGTTTACAGTGAAGGTTTTGTTAGATCAACGGTGCAGACGAAGCCGAAAGCCTATGACTTGACTTAAAAGTGATGCCAAATATGAATGAAGAATCGGGAATGTCTTTTGAGCCCTTTCCTTCCCGCACTACCTATTGGTGTGAGATGACTATTCTAACTATCTATACGTGTATTGGGAAATCTCATCTTTTGGAAATAAATCCATAACATAATACCCCTACAAGACATCGCTGCCAACAATATCTCCACAGAATCACTGCACAAGGGCCATCGGCTACGTACTGCCCATGTTATGTTTGGATAACTTTCCTTAAACAGCTTTAATTAAGGAAAGGCTTAGGATTCAATTTTGACGGCTTTATCGAAGTGCAAGATACACGGACCTGTTATGGTTGCGTCCTGATGTATGAATTCTATGGACCCTGCTGGCTCTCAACACGAAGGGCCCATTGTTGTTTCCAAGTGGGCATAGAGAAGGCGCGTTGAACCCTCTTAGCCAATTCCAAATGGAATTGAAAAAGTTCACGGCTTTCAATATGGAAAAGGTCTCCCGGAAAAGGTCGAAGATGAAATCCCGATGCATGTCTAGTCTCCAAGTCAAAAGTACCTCCATGTCAATATGGACTAACACTTAGAAAATCTGAATCAACCTCGACTCATATTGCAGAGAAGTTACAAGTTGGCTGAGGCTGTAGGTCCATTCTCAGGAAACCCTACTGCGAATCAACATATTTCTGTAAACCTTTTTGATATTTGTAATGCGTCAGTTCAGAGACGTCTATCACCATTTCACCAGGCGGCGGGTGAAGCGTATTTGATTCGTGCGCTTGTAGCCATTTGAAAGCGAGCACTATTGAATTGTTGCCTTGTGAGCTTGCTGTGGTAGAGTTGAGGAGCTTCAATTCCAGATCGCAGGACGGATAGATAACATTGGTTGTCAGTCGTGCTATAAGATCTGCAAGATAGTAACTCTCGTGTCAGGCCTGGTTCCCATGTAACAACACTTGACCATATGATGCTTGTCTGTTCAGGGATACTGCCATTCATTACCCCTGGGAAACCATGGATTATGAGGTGGAACTTCCCTGGACCCCCTATGCTGATTGGATACCCAGAAGGTTGACAGGGTCATCGTGTGGTTGTTGCACGTTGTAGTGGGCATCTCAGATGCTATTGGGAGTGGACTAGGTCCGAGATGATTCTGGATGTGACCTTGAGAGGCTACTGTTTCACTCAGCCTCGAAGGATTCGCATCTCTTCAATTATAAAAGCTCGTGTCTCACCCGGGCCTCTAGCTTCATTGTTCCCAGAAGCCACCCGCTGTTTAATCTACAAACCATACATTAAGAATATCTATTCTGTTCAACAAACTGACACAAAGTTCGATATGAAATACCTCACTCTTGTTTTCACCGTTTTCACCGGTCTGGCTATTGCCATGCCGCTTACATCTTCATCGGAAAAAAGGGTAAGCAACACCTGTGTGTCAAACCAGGAGGAAGCAAATCAATTTCTTTACCCCGGCTGACATGCGTTTGTTTCCTAGGGCACCTTGACTGTAAGTTGATTGCCACGTCACAAGTTTCTCATCCTTGAGCAAACGAGAACCTGACAGGACGATGCGACCCACAGAAGGATTGCGTTGGCGGCTGTGGCGTGAACAATGTCGACATTGATGCTACCAACGTAGATTCTACCTAGAAGGGCGTAAGCCAGTGTTACGGCGCTAAGCAACCGAGCCGGGTAGGGACTTACACGTGGTCGGCATCGAGACAGACTGTCACGATGTCGTGTATTCTTTTGTGCACTTGGCTGAGGGCTGGGGGTTCAGTGGCAGGGCAGCAACCAATACATGGATTCGAATGCCGGGAGCGGCGGTCAAGCCTACTCCGCCTCGCGCGCTTCTCTGGCCGAGCCCAATGTGTGCATATGGGGCGAGCTCGCCCGCTTCACTTGAACATTCCCTTTATTCCCCCCTAATCAAAGATGACAACACCGCTGTTCTCACCCACAAGGATCAACAAGCCGATGAACAGAAACCGCAAAGGAATTTGCAGCAAACATACCCCTCGCAACGGAAGGCAAAACTGTTAAATGATTTTGATTGCTCCCTCGAAACAATCAAAAAGTGCAACGTGGATTACGCGGACAAGTATTTAAGTTTGTTTGCTACGTTTTGTTGATGCTCGCGCAACATACTAGTACTGAGCTGTTCGGCTTTAAAGCTTCTATGAATTCTTGAAATCCTCTTTCTCCCACGGTCGCATTCATCAATTTTCCTCATCACTACTATCTGTGCGTCTCACAATGGCTTCCAACGTCGAGGCTGGTCCCCCGCTCAAAGTCTCATCGTCCGATGCACCTCAGGCGTCGGCAGCCTTGAATACTCCTCTCGAACCTCTTGAATCTGTTCAGAACCTGTCCCAACTACTGAAAAGAGCGGCTGAGACAGATGGTAGTCTCTGTTTCTATTCAGAAACCATTGCAGGGCCTGATTCTTCTACCATATCCTACCGTGAGCTGCTGACAGAAGCACGCATCAAGGCGAGATTGGTCAGTGATTTCATCCAGGCTCAGTCACCGGAGCAGGTGCTGTTGATTCACTTTGATTCACAGCGAGACAGTATTGTCTGGTTTTGGGCTGCTACGTTGGCAGGATTCCTGCCGTGTATGTCCCCTCCGCTGGTCAATGACATTGGGCAACGCAAAAAGCATCTGCTTCATCTCCATGGTCTGCTGAGGGAGCCAACCATACTCACAACTACGAAACTTGCGGCCGACTTCCTTGAGTTGAGTCAATTGAAGCTCAGAGCTGTCGAGGATCTTCTATCCAATGGAGTCAACGGCTCTGTGGGCCAGCTCGTGGACTATGATGCTGGACAAAAGGCGGGCGCAGAAAGCACCGCTGCGCTTATGTTGACATCGGGTAGCACAGACAACGTCAAGGCGGTTCCGCTGCGCCACCGCCAAGTTCTTGATGCCGTCAACGGCAAAAGTGCATATCACGGGACCTCATCCCGCGATATCTTCCTCAGCTGGGTCGGATTGGACCATGTGGCAAGCTTGGTCGAAGTCCATCTGCATGCAAGTATGACACCCCATCAATTACGGCGCGGCATCTCGCGGTGCGTGGACATTCAACGAGCTGAATCTTTTCAATCTTCCCAGTGAGCCTTGGAGCAAACGAGATTCATGTTCCTGCATCATCCCTGGTTCAAGATCCGATGCTCTTCATCCGGCTATTGGACGGACATAACGTTACCTACACCTTTGCGCCCAACTTTTTCCTAGCAATGGTTCTAAACACCCTGAAATCGAATGCGGGCTGCACGGCAAATCTCTCAAGTCTCAGGGCTTTGGTATCAGGCGGCGAGGCAAATCCCACGGCAACTTGCCAAGACCTCACGCGAGAGCTTCGTCGCCTCGGGTGTAGGGGCGAGGTGATACGCCCAGGATTCGGGATGACCGAGACATGCGCGGGTTCCATTTATTCCCAATATTGCCCTTCCTATGACATTGAGCGCTCGGTTGAATTCGCGAGCGTGGGATCGTGCATACCAGGGATGAAGATGCGCGTCAGGAGCCTTCATGATTCTCACGACGAAGCCCCAAGAGGCCAGACAGGCGAGCTTCACGTCACTGGAAAGGTGGTTATAAGCCAATATTACAACGACAAAAAGGCCACGAGAGAGGCTTTCACTTCGGACGGATGGTTTAGAACAGGAGACCTTGCATGGATCGATGATGCTGGAAATCTACACCTGGCGGGCCGCATCAAGGATTCCATCATTGTCAATGGCGTCAAGTGGAGTGCAGCTGAGTTGGAGAACACCCTCGATGACGAGAGAATACCTGGGGTCGCTCCATCTTTCACGATGTGTTTCCCAACCCGCGCTCCCGGATCATCTACTGAGGGCATCGCCGTCGCCTACTCCCCGCGATTCCGCGACGAGGACCTCGGCTCACGATCTGAGACGGTGAGGGCCATTACAAGGGTAATCTCATTGATCACGGGCAGGAGACCAGCACGCATAGTGCCTTTGCCTCCATCCATGCTCGAGAAGTCATCGCTCGGCAAAATCTCGCGCTCAAAGATCCGGGCTGCCCTCGAGAGTGGCCAGCTCGGACCGGTTGAGCGCGAAGACCAACGACTTCTCGACAACGACAGACAGCGCAAGTGGCGCAGCGCCAGGACTGCCAGCGAGAAGATCGTGCAGGGCATATTAGCCGAGCTCTTGAAGAAGCCCGTCATGGAAATTGGTGTGGAGACATCCATCTTCGATCACGGCGTCGACTCGATGCATCTCATCCTTCTGAAATCCAGACTTCAGGGGGCCATTGGCACCCAGATTGATATTCCCATGTCCGTCTTGCTGACTGCGTGAGTACCTAACTCTCCTTGTTACCCTTGTCATGCCCGCCCGAGGCACAGTCGCAAATCCCTGACCGTATGCAGACCAACCGTGGTGGCCATTGCATCCGCCATTGACCAGCTCGTATCACACCCAATCGTTTACGCGCCCGTTGTCCCATTGCAGCCACATGGATCCGCTACACCCTTGTTCTTTATTCATCCTGGAAGCGGAGACATCCTCGTGTTCATTGCTCTGGCAGCACACTTCCCGACCCGTCCCGTGTACGCCCTGAGGAGTCGCGGGTACAATCCCGGCGAATCCTTCTTCTCCTCCATCGAGGCAACCGCTGAGCTTTACGCGGCGGAAATCTGCAAGACACAGCCAGAGGGCCCTTATGCGATAGCAGGCTATTCTCTTGGGTCCACGCTCGCCTTTGAGGTCGGCAAGGTGCTTGAGAAGCAGGGCCGTGAAGTCAGGTTCCTCGCTAGCATCGACTACCCGCCACACATTGCGCCCTATGTGCGTGGCTTGGATTGGGTTGATGTGCTGCTGCACATTGCCTTCTTCCTGGAACTCATTGACGAAGACACCTTGAAGAAAATCACACCTCATCTGCACACGCTTGACCGCGACGAGGCGCTGTCGTACGTCCTTGAAATTGGCGATGCTGAGCGCGCCAGTGCCCTAGCCATTAACGTGGACCGCTTGGAGCTCATTTCAGATATTGCGGAAAACTTTAGAGTCAATGTCCAAACCTACGAGCCTGTCGGCAAGGTTGAGAGTCTAGACGTCTTCGTTGCAGACCCGCCATCTTATGCGGCCCGTGATCGACAGGACTGGCAAGAGAACAAGCTTGGCCTCTGGGCCGGTTTCGCGCGAACTGGGGTGGAGTTTCATGATTGCCCAGGTATTCATGCGAAAATGCTCAACAGAGAGCATGTGGCTGACTTTGCCAAGATATTCAAAGCAGCCATGAGAATGAGAGGCGTCTAGGAATCACAGCAGCAGATTGACTGAATCGGGCAGCTTTCTGGAACGGCGCAGGGAAGCATGCTGCAGATGTTGCTCTGTGAGGGAGGAACTCAGAAGAGCTCGAATCTATCCTAAACATCATGTCCGAATGATTTCTGGGAGTTTTCTAATCATGGTCACGGCGAAAGACACGAGGAATAAATGACAATGTTCTCGCTTTAACACAATTATTGATGCCCTTCTACCTTGTGTTGCCAGTTTTCTTCGGATGCAATGCCCCCCTTAATACAACTTATCGCTCAATGTACTACTTACCGTTCGCGCGTATGGGGTCGATTTGTTGGACACTACCAAGCCAGCAGCATCGTCATCCTCGTCTGCCACTCGTACCCATTCTCCTCCTACGTATGTGTGCGTCGTCAACGAGATATCATCCGTGATGCTAATGCCTGCCCGCTGAGACGATATGTCCCTGCCGCTCGTGATGTGGGTGCTGACTTGATTGCCTCCAAAACTGCTCGAATTATGCAAGTTACCTCGTTTATAGTTGGACGGGGAGTTGGATGTGGTGGTGATGCCGAGAAACCCCAGCAAAGGGCGGTAGGTAGGCAGGGACGCGGTCAAAAGGGCAACCGCAACCTCGACTACGCAGAGCAATCCGCCCGGGATCATGTCCCCTTGGACAATTCAATCAGTATGGAGTCTTCTCATTGGTTTCTTGGGCCAAGATATTGGAGAGCTTACAGCTTGGGTTCACGGTGCCTCCTACTCGCCTTGCGTAGGGCACGCGGATAGCTGCGACTATACAAGCGCTGTTTCATCGCATTAGCATGACGTACAAGTCCGAATGAACTGCTCTAGCCGATAGCTTACCTTCCACCTAGCGCAAAGTTGATCGATAGCAGGACTTTCTTCCGGGTCGACGAGTTGAGTTGCTTAACGAGGGGAAGAGGCGTGAGGAGAATGACCACGTCCAACAGAAAATTGAAGAGGCTGTTGAAGACGCTGAAATAACTGAAATTGATGCAAGTGCCTTCCACCGCCGGATTCCATAATGCTTCGAGCGGGCGGCACTGGAGGCAGCTGACTAGGATAATGGCAACTCCGTTGAGTACGTTGACGGTGCCCACGAAGTGAACCCAGTAGTGGAACTTCCTCTGGGGGAAGATGGCAAGATATAACGCGAGGATGCTCCATTTGACCAGGACACTGGAAACACCATACAGGATCGGATTGCAGATATTGAGCTACAATACGAGAATCAGCTTCGTGTCCGTTTCTGTCTTTGCGAACCTTGGGCCTCGAACGAATATCGACGTACAATAGTCAAGATGCGCATTTCTGCTGGGTCCGTCACGAGAATGATGTGTCTGCCAGCTCCATACCTAGTCGACAAGGCAAAGACTATGCAGAAGGCGATGTAGAAAAACTATGGGTTGCCGTGACTCGTAAGCGCTTTGAAACCTGTATCTTTCGGGAGGAATTACGCTACCAACGAACCAACTATCAGCCAGTCACTGAATATGGGCTTGAGGCCGACCTGGAATCTTGACCAGATGCGTAGGGCCAAGACGATGACCGAAGCAATACTACAGATGACGCAGCAAATAATGATGTCGGGAACCGTGGAGTCGCTGATGTGTGCCATCATCCAGGCGATGTCCTCATCGGTTGGAACATTCCCCATGGCTTCTGATTTATGATGGCGGGCTCATACCAGCTGAACGTGGAGTTGTAGATAACGCACAAAAAGAAGAATCATTGGTCTTATGAAGGAGACAGAAGAGGAGGGTCGACAAGATTATAGAAGGTCATATTGATTTCTTTCCGTCTCGAAATCTAGGCTTTCATCCTCGGCACGGTTGAGATTGAAGATTCGGATAGCACCTAGCCGAGGGTGACAGAGACCGGATCTATGAGCAGGAAGCCGAACCAAAGTCTGAAGCGGAACAGCTACGACCAGGAGTCAGTGGCAGGAATGGCCAAGACACTGCATGAGCATTTGCCTGTCTTACTTCGCTTAAAGATTGAACTGAGCAAGTGACTACAGGAACAGGTGAAGGTTTCTTTAGGAGAAGATGGGCATGGAATCGAGTTTAGCCAGTTTCAGGCCGCGCCAGCATTGAGGCACACCGGCTTCTTGGATTTCATCTGCAGCGGACTTCTTCATGTGGTTTCGCCTATTCTATTATACTGTTTGGGACTCTTGCAGAATGAGTGACACACATCACATCACATCGAATGATGCCTTGGAATCTGCAGCTACAGACTAGGTCCCATTGCAACGTCGTCGCAGGCCGGCCCGCTTCCCCCTTTAGCGGCCGCAGGGAAGCTAGCAGGGATTGGGCATGGGTATCGGATGAATGCTGCAGCCACGGATTGCGAGCTGTAGAAGGTCTGGTGTCGAATTGAGCTAGAATCCAGGTAGCATTTGGTGCCTTTGATAGAGTCTGGCACTTTGGCCAGATTTTGCGCATGGAACGGGGCGGCGAGGTTCACTGCGTCCTGTGGCCAGGGATCCTATACTCGTGCAACGACACGTACCTTACATGAAGCGACCTGGTAATCCATGTTACGAGCATGTCACATTCGTTCTGATCAGATCATGAAAAGCAGGGTTGATGAACTCAACAGCACTGCCTCGCCAGCCCACCCCTCAAAATCATGCTCAAAAGGTCCTCGTCGTCATATGCAGCGACGCTTTCCGGCTTCCAAGGTCTGTCTGCGTCTCATAAGTCTGTATTTGATGACCGGCCAACTGACGTGCAGCTTCAATCTCCGCCACGCCCGTCTTACTGTGTCTTCAGCAATGCGTGATGCATCATTGGATCGGCTGCTCACCGGCTGCAGGTGGAAGACGGGATAGAACTCCAACACCCTGCAGCCAAGCCAATAACGTACTCCGGATGATGCCACACTGGTGCATGTTGCCAGGTCCAAAGATCTCTTCATTCAATCCAACAACGCCTTCCAGTTCTTGTCCCTGGAGACAGCTCGTTGAAGAATGCCCTTGCATGTGTTATCAAAAGTCGCCTTTCATCATAGCAATACGCAGTTGGACCAACCTCGGATCCACAGCAACCGTAGACATGCTCTCTGATTATGTTGAGGCCTTTGTCGGAGCGCGCCAGGGGCGTCTTCAATGTAGCAGGATGGCAGGCACGTGCGATTGATTCCCCTTCATAGTCGGCATACTCCCGGGCCACAATCTTTGTTCACCATCTCGGTTCAGGTGTTGCTCAACTCACCATCGCTCTCCCAAAGATCATTCTCACGGCGGTAAAGTGTCTGCCAGCATGAGTCTTATTCTGTGGACGTTATGGAGCATAGTCGCTCTGGCGACCTTGGTAGTGTATAGCCGCACGCGGAATCCAAATCAACTTAAACTTCCGCCGGGTCCGAAGCCCCTCCCTGTGCTAGGAAACATTCGAGATTTCCCTCCTGAAGGCACGCCCGAGCATCTACACTGGCTCAAGCACAAGGATTTGTATGGGGCAATCAGCTCTGTAACGGTCATGGGCATGACGCTCGTGATCGTTCACGACAAGAAGATGGCGCATGACTTGCTAGACCAAAATGCAAGTAAGACATCAGGCCGACCTTCCATGGTCATGGCCAACAAGCTGTGCGGCTACGAATCCATCGTTCTTTGTCAAGGTTATACCCCCATGTTTCGCCGCTATCGCAAGTTTCTTCATCAGGAACTCGGTACAAAGGTCTCTGCGTCGCAGTTCCGTAACGTCCAGGAAAGCGAAGTAGGGCGACAGCTCGTGCGGTCCCTGGGGGAGCCTGAAAAGCTACTGGAACACTACAAGACGTGAGTCTGAGCAGAAGAATAGCAAAGAGAGTCAGAGCTAATTGGGGGTGTAATACTAGTACTGCTGCTGCCACCGTGCTTAAGATGGCTTACGGCTACGCCATCGAACCTCATGAATCCGACGTTTTGGTGGAGCTCATTGAGAAGATGATGACTGAATTTTCTCTCGCCGCGAGTCCGATGGCATGGCTTGTGGACATCATCCCAGCCCTCCAGTACCTCCCTGAAAGTTTCCCGGGTGCCTCTTTCAAAAAGACTGCTCGGAGATGGCGCAAATCCATCCAAGCATCGGCCTATATTCCTTACGAATTTGTTCAACATCAGCTGGCCTCACTTACCAATCGACCGTCGTACGTGTCGAAACTCTCCCACCAGCTGGCAGAGGACGAAAAAGGCGAGTTGAGCAAAGAGGATGAAAACGCCGTCATCTGGTCCGCAGCGAGCCTTTACGGTGCGGCCGCGGATACCACCGTCATCACTCTGACCACTTTTGCGCTGGCTATGCTCAAGTTTCCCGACGTCCAGCGCAAAGCCCAGGCGGAGATTGATCGTGTCATTGGATCTGATCGCCTCCCCACCTTTGAAGACCGCGAAAAGCTGCCGTATGTGGACGCCTTGGTCAAAGAGACGTCCAGATGGTGGCCGATTGTGCCCATGGGCTTCCCTCATACCACCACGGAAGAGTTTGAGTACGAGGGATATCGGATTCCCAAGGGCGCCTTCGTCCTCCCGTCCGTTTATTGGTTCCTCCACGACCCAGATGTGTACGCCGATCCTGAATTGTTCAACCCCGACCGCTTCCTCCCTCCACGCAATGAACCTGACCCTACAACGGAAGCCTTTGGATACGGCCGTCGGATCTGCCCGGGCCGGTTCTTTGCCGACTCTAGCCTCTTTCTTAACGTGGCGCAGACATTGGCGGCTTTCACGATCGGTAGGGCCTTGGATACGAATGGCAAGGAAGTGGAACTAGATGTGAAGCCGAAGCCGGGCGTTCTGACGTACCCCACTACATTTCCGTTGAGAGTCACACCGCGGAGCGAGCAGCATGTAGAGTTGATTAGGCAAGTTGAGAGGAAGTATCCATTCGAGTCTAGCGATGCCGCCCTTTTGCAAAATCCAGACGATTTCGAGGTTAGGAACTAATTGTTTGTGGTTATCAATCTTATTTCGCTAATTTTTCAAACGCATCATATTTTGATTTCAACGCTCGAGGTGACCCTATGTTTTCCAGGGTACGGAATGTGATGTAGCTCTAACCATCATGACCAGACTACAGTTTGGATGGCCGGCTACTGTCTTCAAACGATCGGAACTCGGGTAATGACGATATTCTCGACTTGGGGCCCAGTTCTCTCCTGTCGGCATTCATCAGAGTGGCTTCACTTTTCCAGGCCCACGCAGCATCCTTTTCCGGGCCATTACTCTTCCCTTGAAGGACATTGGACAAGTATTTGCCTGCGATTGGGAGGAATCTGGTTGTGATCCGTCAGTTGGACGAGCAATATCATACGGTACCCCTCTCAAGAAAGGTGAACATACTTGTAGGTGTCAAAGTTTCCGCCGACGGCAAGAAACAGGTTTTCAAGCTGTGGATGGGGATGCCGGCAGAGTAGCCAATCTTCTGTTGGGATCTTTGCATCCCAGCATATTCGCCATCGGGTTGGACTCTTCCTCTGCGCAAACTCGGGCATCATGATGTTCAGGAGCTTTTGGCTTTCATCTTTCAACTTTTGGGGCACATCGTCCTGGGCCCTTTCAGAGGGAACAGATACCGTAGTCCCTGCAGATACGGTCACTCCATTGACGAACTCGGTTTGAAGGTCATTGATCTTTAGCGTCCGGTTCTCCCGTGATGGCGGCGTCACTATGCCGCTGGATTTGTAAATGACAATCGGCATCCCGGCTTCGCACAAGTCCTCTGTCTCTTTGGGCGATAGCTCATAGTAGGCTGAAATCCTTCCAACCGCTGTGATTTGCCGTTCGATTCGGTCGCGAGCGGCGATGTGCAGCAGAGTTTCTATTGGCGCGAGCAGATGGCTTGTCCAGGCCCCTGCTGAGAGAACGATTTGGTCTGCCGTCAAGCGCCGGCCGTCTTTCATCCGCACACCCACCAGTCTCTTGCGCGAAAGATCAAACGACAACTCATCCACTTCGCCAGTAACCCTTTTCACACCGTTTCTTTCCGCCGCGGCCATCAGATTCGGAGTCGCTAGTGCAGCGTCGCACCATCCAGCTTCTGGATTGAAGAATGCCGTCCCTAGCCCGTTGGTTTCCATACCCTCGAAGGGCTTCCATCGCTTCCGGGCCTCTTGCACATTGAAGTCCTTGGTGTAATCAGAGCCTCGTTGCTGGAGTGTCCTCCGCACGGCGTCGGTGAACTGATTATCTTCTTCATCAATGGTAACGCATCCGGTCTTGCGGAAGAAATGACCGAGATTGAGATCCCAGAACCACGGATGGATGGCTTCGTTGGCGAGGTTACAGTACAGCGGCCTCACGTAGTTTGTTTGGATGATCCGATTGACATCTATAGCGGCGGCCTTGTTCGCGCCAGGGCCAGAGGGAGTCCCTCGGTCGACCACCGTTACGCGGCTGGCGTCTTGATAGGTTCGCGATAGGTGGTACGCGGTGGAAGTGCCGAATGTTCCGCCACCTACGACGAGAACGCTCGGCTCGGCCATACTGTTTGCGTCACGACTGGTTTCGGCCTCCTTGGTGGTGGAAAGGGACTTTTGAAGGTTTTAAGCATCCAACGATGACAAGGGGAGAGTTCATCGCAACTCTGCCTCGTTGGAATGCAACGTCCTTTTAACAGTCCCTTGGCCACAGTAACACATATTGGAACGCGATAATAATAGTCTCCGACTCTGCCGAAACCCCGAGAAACCCCCATGCGGGTGTTATTTTCCGTTTCGCGGGGACCCCAGAAAGTCCTCCGCACTCCAATTTTGACTTTGGGGCATGACGACGGAAAGGGCGGGGTTGGAGCACATGACTTCGGCACTCGCGTTGATGCATCTACTTGGCTTTACTGTCAGGTGGCTATGTCTCTTTGCCATGTTCTTGCACTCGATGGAGTAATTTGTAAAAACTGGAGTTGCATATCAACGTCGACAGTTGCGTTCCACGCTTTTATTAGTATATGTCAGGCCTTCAAACTAGCGCCTTTACAAATTGGCGGTTGTGGTCGGGGCTCAAGTCTGGCAGATCGTTTCAATTTCTAATTGAAAGATACTAACAAGCCTGTAAAGTTTGATGAACGTCCTGGTTCTACTCTATGTGAAATGGTTACCCTACTCACCCTGCTTCTCGAGCTGGTTATATTTTACCACATCTTGGGCTGGCATTCTCTTCCTACTGCTCTTCTTCCAGTTTATCATCGTCCCATCGTTGTGGGCGGCGATTTTAAGGTCGTGCGAAATGAAATAAACTACTCTCTTCGGAGGCTGTCACACAGAATCACTTCCTTAAATTTCCAGGCCTGAGTTCATACATCGATGGAAAGAAGTACGTAAGACTTGGCGTCATCATTCATCGATGAGTTCGCTAGACTTCACTGATGGGGTAATTAATAGTAATCTCGGAGCCCTTCCTGAATTTGATTTTTCAATGGACCAAGTCCCGAGGTTCTTCGGTCTATCATATGGGTGATATTGCAGCCGTCGGCAATGATTAAAAGTCCAGTCCACCAATTACATTTGGATCTTTCACGGCCCAGAAGCCTGATAGTCGTGGATGGAGGGCCTGGTAACTATGCCCTTGATGTGCGACTTATCGAGTTGTTTAATTTGAAATTAGACGTCAATCCATTGAGCATAAGTCTAAATGACTCCGCTCGAAGGTCCCATCCCGTCCGGGGTGGGATTCTGGCGAACGAGTGCGGCATCAGTCAAACGATCATAGCATTCTTTGCTTTGGCGGAGGTGATTGCCCGCCACAAGGTGAACAACTGTGAAAACCCGGATGCCGTTTATTTACCGTCTAATATCTTAATACCGGCGTCTATGCTCGACCAGACCTATAAGGTGTTAATTAAGAAGTTCTCGTACCTATTTAAAGTATACGTATTCTATTAGTCGCATTTTATTATGCTAAAATATAAAATAAAAAATATAATAATTAATATAAAAGAGCTTATTTAACTTTTCGAGAAGCTAGACCGGGAGGAGAAGAATCCGGAGTCGGCCGACTAATTAATCCTAATATTTTACTTAATTAATAACCGCCGCTTAGTGGTTAACAACCGTCGCGACGGAAGAGACGAGACGGACGAGGATGATGACGAGGCGGAGGATTGTGACCATAAGGGGGTCACTAAAAAGATGGACTTCGATCTTTCTGAAGCCTCGTTATTCGGCGCCTTCATTGGTTGACACATATATAGCTGACTGAAATGTGGATGTGTTGCTAGCTTTTTGGGCCAACCTCACGCAGATCACATTGTTTGCGAGCCAAGTACAGGTTGTTCTTTATCTAAACCAGAATGAACAAGAGTAATCTTCATCAGTTAGCGAACTTTAACGGGGTGACATCGAGCAACGATATTCAACTCGGTAGCATCGGAGCCTGAAGAAATATCCAGCCCATATCTTCTCGGCTCTCGGTAGTCTATTTCTTGTATCATAATGGCGGCTCATTTACAAATCTAGAAGAAATCGAATTCCAGAATCAAAAAGGCAGAGTAGATATCGGAGGCCCGGTTCTTCCCTGATCAATCTGTGAATTTCAATCTCGTTGGCATCCCTGCTCCTGCTTCAGCCGTATCATAGACCGTTTCCTCCCTGATTTGAGTCCCCGTCCCGTCGCCATCCATCATCTCTTGCTCCTTGTACTGTCGGTGTGCCTCAATTATCATCATCTTCATTGTGCGCTTTTTCTGTCGGGCTTGGCGGAGCCTAGTCGGTACGTCGCGAAAGAGTGACCTTTTCTTCTGCGATCGGAACTCCAACAGTTCGATGACCAGCTTGACTCGGTGGTATGCCCATCGGAATTCTTCGGCCTTTGGATCCAATTCTTGGGGAGGTGGTCTTTGGTGCTCCCATGGGATTGCGGGAATGGGTCTCGGCTCAAGTGGAGCGGTGTGCCCTGTCTTGGGCGTTTCGGCGGCCATTTCTGAGGGAGTTTCTCGGTCGAGTTCTGCAAAATCTACGACTGAATCAATTGACTTATCGGTTAGCTTTTCATATGGATTAAAATGCCATCGGAGCCTGGTACGCGCTGGCGATGTTCGAATCCGAGTCTCACAGTTCACGTGCCGCGGTAGTGGGGGTGGGGGGAATGCTCTTACGACGTCTAGGAGTGATTGAAAAGCGTATGCGATTGTCAATCGAGTTCAGCCGCAGTTGCAAGCTGCGAGCGGTGAGAATTAGTATACAACAAGCGATCTCAGAATAGCGTCGCCTGCCATTACTTCTGGGGATGAAAGAGCGAAGCTTGCGCCGGTCTTTGCGAACTCAGGGGGGGTGCCTCGATCTTCCCAGCGATTCTGGCTCTCAATGGACTGACACTTGTTGGTAGCAACGACAATTGTTTGCTTCCTCTTTGGGTCTGCGCCGTTGACGCCACCAACAACAAGAAATGAGACAACATGACAACCCCTGTCGCCCGGTCGGTGTTGGAGGCATCAGCGGCCGAACGCCGACTTGTCTATCAACACCGAACTGACTGTTGGTTGTCGGAATCTCCACGCGATACCCATGGGCTACATCAAAGCCAGTTTCTATTCAACCAATGGACGAACCCAGATTTCGAAAACCCGCTTCTTGCGGCCAATATCCATCATGATGTCTGGCTTAAATTGGGTGAGCCCGCTGACATGACGTCCGTACTGCGCCGCAGCAAGGGGCAGGGGTGCCCATTCATTGTGCCGAATCTTCTGTCAGTTGGCTCAAATTACCTCAAGCCGTCTGACAATACCAAGCTATTCGACATTCAGCTTGAGGAAAGGCATCCTAGTTACAGAAGTCATGATCGAAGATATCTGGGACAAGATACTTTCCGACAAGCTCTGTGACAGATCAAACCAACCTTGAACGATGGAAATCATTGAAGCGTCACCAATGCCTCAAGACCGCTGGCGTTGGATTTTTGAATAGATGATTTATGAAGTGATATCAGAAGATGACTCGAAATTGGCAGAATGAGAGAAACCAAGAGTGGGCAAGTGAAGTGAATTTGGCTGAGCTGAGATGAAGTTGATGAAACAAGGGCCGTGGGACTCTCGTCGATGGGTGCCGCAATTTGATGCTCCAAGGTGTCTTCCGCCCCGTTGCGCCAGAGTGACTAAGCACGGAGGAGACATGGTCCGCAAGAACCGAGAACCAGATCCTATGGCAGCTACGCCTCACAGTAATGAGAAGAAGGTGCAGGCGATGAGCAACTACGTCGCAGCATTCGAGGTAGGAGTAATGTCCGCCCAAGTGTATGTACTTGCCGTGGCAGAGACTTTGCCCCTCCCTCTCTGCTTCCTCTCAACTTCCTCCTCCTCCTCCTCCTCTACTTCTTCTTCCATAACCTTCGTATCGTCACGGCACAACAGTCTACCATCACCAACATTGCCGCATCTCCAGTTCATCGCTTTGACAGTTCAACAGAAGATTACACCGCAAAAGAACACCAGCATCCATCATCACTTTCCAACGGCTCCTCTCTCGAACAGCCGAGCACCCTCTCCCACAGACCATACGCTTCCACAACGAACACCGCACCTTTGCGCAACTCAGCAAAGTCCCAGCACGGTTTCTGCAGTAGTCATGGACTTGATGACCACCATAGCTGATCGTCTACTCACCGTCGTCGGAGTGCCTCGCATTGTGTGAGTTCTCTCCATCTCGTCTTCCCGGCACCCGACACCTTGCAGCTTCTATCTGACATGTCTTGCGCATCCTAGTGATAGACCGCTTGACGGGTGGTATCATGATAGCACCAGGCCAGAACTGGGCTGGCTTTCCTTATGTAAGACACAGCCCACTCTCTTTCCTTTCTTTATCGCGGCCAAGGTGTCCTGAAATGATGCATCTAGTTCCACCAACATACACGGAGCCGCAAAATGAATACGTACCGAAACAAATGCTTGCCTTTAAGCCGTCACGTTTTGGCGGTGGGGGCAAAGTGAAACTCGTACCGTACGGAACTAAACAGGAGTGGGAATACGTCAGAGTCACTGACCACAGATTCGATCCCGACGACGAGACCAGACTCCAACTTCGAACACATTAGCGAAATTCAGTTGGCGACCAGCAAGACGTCTGGGTACCGGAGTACATTGTCCAGCTTGGTGACACCAACTCTTGGACGGATCACTTTGAACTTCTGGATCGCAAAGACGTCCTTGCTTGGGATAAATCTACTACAAAGGTCATCAAAATCCGGGGCCACCACGTTAGCCAGGACAATCGACTTGTCTTTCGTGTTGTATATGAAGGCCAGGGTGACCGAAATGCTGGAAACGTTGACGAGGTGTGGATGAGAACCTACTATCCTCGGCTCGTTCGTGAGTACTGGCGTCGTTTCCGCAAGGCATCCCGCAAGGCCCGCAAAGAAGGGGAAGGTCGACGACCCCCTACCGATGAATGGTGGGACCGGGCTGCCCCAGAAATCCGACACCGGCACTGGCTCAACTTTTTGACCAACCGACCAAGAAATCTACCCAGACTACGCTTCCGGGACCGGATAGCTGGCGCTTTTGGCCGATGGGAAGATGCAGACCGTAAGTCAAACACACCTGGCCTTCTCGTGACTCGTCGTCTTTGTCCTTAGGCGGAATGCTAACGGATCCTGTGTAGCAATTCCGCCCCGGTAGCCGCCTACAGTGACCCAAACTGGTTACGCGTGCTCATTCTGCGTGTATGCACGGCTGGATTCAATTGAATGGCGAGGGACTCTTGATGATGATGGGTTGGAGGACTCTCATTGCCTATTCCCAAGCGAAAAGCATCTTTCTCGCAGCGATGATGGCGGGTTGGATGTCTCACAGTCTTGCTGGCTTCGACATGTCTAACAGTAGAAATCCGTCATAACGTCCATTGTAATATCCTTTCATTGCATTCTGGGTATCGTAGCGCTCTATTTAGTATATTTGTTTCCAAACTCTTTCCAATGACAGTGCTCCTGGTTGCATTGTGCATGGCTGGCTGGCCAGAGTGGGCGTCAGATAGATGCAGTTGAACCGACCGCGAGAAAGCAGCTCTTCCGCAGCTCGCTGCTGGCTGCGTCTTGGCTGGGCAATATGTGCTGCCGGGCTCCCTGCTTCGTTCCTCGCGAATCACTTCTCCACCCTCAATGCGCTACTTTCATCGAGGGAAGATTGCCACCGCATACAGTCTTTGGTGTAGGACGAGTGTGTCGAGCATGTGCCTTGTCCCTGGGGAGCAGAAGTCCCTCCATTCCTTTCAGTCCAGCTATTTGCAACGTGTTTGCTGCCTCCCTCCGCCATTGCTGTCATATTTGCCTGTTATAACTGACGTTGATCCTGCTGCACCATCGCCACCATGACTAGCATTGCCACTTATCAGCTGAGGCCGAGCCACGATGCACGGCAAGGAACAATACGCGCCATGGGCAGGCTACCCATCTTCCAACTTTGATTCCTGGCGTGAGATGCAAATTACTGGTTCTCCAACACGTCAGAGATTCCTTCAAAGACAGGCGCGGGTGCTGGAGGGCGCGTCTCGCCCTTAAGACTCCGGCTCAACGCGTCCATGGACATGGACGTGGCCACGGGGAATCCGAGCGAGACGGACCGCAGCTGGCGGGGCTCGAGCATACCCATTCCAATCTCGGCGGCTCCGGAGGCTGATTGCTCCGCGCCCAGGGCGAGGTCCAACCGCGACGAGGACCTTCGTAGGGGCGAGTGGCCGTGTAGATTGGGGGCCTGGGAGAATGATCTTGATGGTGGGGGGAAGAGGCGCGTGGCTAAGGCTGGTGATGAGGGCGAGGGTGACGAGTTGGAGGGGCGGGAGATGGATGAGGAGGTGGAGGAGGAGGAGGATCTGCGAGAGGGAGGGGATGGCTGTCGATTCGAGGACAGGTACTCCATCTCGAGAAGGTGGAGGAGGTCAGTGACTGTTATCCCGTCAGGGAGGTTAAAGTCCGGCCGGGGAATCCGGCGGTAGGCGGGTGGCCCCGTTCGGGGTCCGTTGGTGGAGGGCCGACGCGGTTGCGGTTGTTGATGAGATAGTGTTGGTTGTGGTGGTGGTGGAGGTTGGATGACGGCGTCCTCGTACCGACGGGGCCGTGTCGTCGGTTCGGACAGCCCGCTTATGACGACGGGGCCGCCGGCAGGCGGTGTGCGGCTGCTCTCGGGACCGGAGACTAGGTCACCATAGCCCTTGGCAGACCGGTGGATCTGAGGTCCTTCGGAGACGTAGGGGATGGTGCTGCTGCGGCGAAGATGGTCCTCTCTCGCATTGTCAAGATCTGGCTGCTGCTGCTGCTGCTGCTGCCGCTGTCTCAGTTTCAATGACGGAGCTCTCTGGAACGCCGTCTGCAGAGAGAGCCTTCCTCGACGCGACTTTGAGAGGTGACGCGGCGGTTCCCGTTCCCGTTCCCGGGCCGGCGAGTCGGGCGCGGGGGCGTGGAAGCCCGTCTCGGCGACGGCAAAGGGCTCAGCGGATGGGCTCAAGGCCTCGAACGCCGAGACGGCCTGGGACACGGGGACGTTTTGGTGGCCTGTGTGGTTCATCTCCTGGATGAGGTACTGCAGCTGGTTGTCGTCGAGGTCGGCGAGGACTTCGTACAAGGAGCCCAGGGAGGCGGAGGGTTTGTGCCGCCGGGTGCTGTGAGATGGTTTGGCAGCGGCGGCGGCGTCCATTGCGGCGCTGTGGTTGTTGTCGCCGCCGGCAGTCCGATTGTCGTGAGAGTCCATCATGGTTTGGCGACCGCCTTGTTGCTGTGGTTGCGGTCGTCGATTTAGAGTGGTGAAGGGTGGTAGTGGTGGTGGTAGTGGTTGTGTGTATCAGGCACGCTGGCTGGTATGACACTCTGAGACAGTGAGTCTCATTGCTGCTTCAGTGAAACACGACCCGACGGGTGAATGAATGTGGGTTGGTTGGTTGCGTTGCAGAACTCGCTGCGGGCCATCCACATACACACTCATACATACACTCGCGGGACTCGGGTGGGATGGAGTGATGGAGGGAGGGATGGATGGAGGGTCAGACCAGCTGCAACCAATCTCTTGGGGGGTGGCGTGAAAAGCAGACGAGAGAGATGAGACGAGGACAAAGAAACAAGTTGCAAACTGCAAAAGGGAGAAATGGGAAGTTTTCAGAGAATCAAGGTACCGCGCGTTCAAGACATGTTTCGCCACAAGTCCTTTTCTTCATGGGAACCCTTTAGGCTGGACGCAAGGGGACGCGGGACGCAAGGGGACGCAGAGTGCGGCAGCTTATGCAAAACTGAACGGTTCGTTCGGGTCATGGGCGACGAACGACAAACGACGACCGACGAACGTGACAGGGGGGAAAAGGGGCCAAATCTTAAATTTGGGCTTAGGTAATACGCTGTGGCCATCATCGTCATGTGACGGGCCCATTATTGCCCAGTCAATTCCCTGGACTTTTCCCGTTTGGGATGTGCTCAGCGTCGTATCGGCAACTTCATTTCGGTTCGCCTTATCGATAAGACAACTGATATGCAACTGATAAGGCGTGTGACACAAGACTTTCACAAGTGACTTGAGTTGCTGGGCGACTGACTGATGGTCCTCAACGTGCTTTCCAGCGTTGGATAGGAGTCAATCAGGTTATTCTTATATCTCAGTTTAGAATCATATATTCACTAGACTGACATTTCATGCTTCAATATAGGGAGCCGCATAGGAAAAGACGTTCACCGACCTCAGAGGTTGACAAATTCTTCAATCTAACAAGGTGCTCGAGTAGGAACCTTTAAGAGCAAGAGAGTCATTGTAGATACTACGTCGACTTGATGGCGGCACCGCCAACTCACGTCCAGATTGGGCTGGATGTCTATGACAACAAAATTACCTTTCAACGTCGCCAGGACCGGTTATAACCGACAACAGTCTCCAAGACTCAAACAGGCATTGACTTACGATGCGCCACCCAGAGGTGAGTCTGGTGACCAATAACCATCAATCTCCTCATAGCCACCGGCCATTGCTTTTCTAGTGATGACTCGATTTCAAAGACAAAAGATGCCATTTTGAAAACACCACAGAAAGATAGGGCCTAAAAGTCACCGCGCAAAAGAGATATTGGCCCGACGTGATTGCGCCACCAACAACAGAAAGGTATGCAATTTTGAAAAAGTCTAACCAAGCAGTACGCACCAAAAGTGTCCTTTTCTCAACGTTGCCGTGTCCCTTCAGATTCATCCATGCCTTGCCCCAGAGTTCCTCGGCCACTCATAAATGCAGCTCGGAATCCAACCCTGCACTCAGTCTGCGTCCCGAGATTTGCCATGTCGTGCTGCGTTCGCCGCGCGGCCGTACAGACTATCGCCATGACTATTGAGCCAGTGAGTGAGTGCCTTTTGCAAAGTTATTCCCATCTGTGGAGTGTACGAGTTGTCAAGGGTAGACATTCAGGTAGCTTCAACCAGTTTCATATATTACCAGCGTCCGTCGAGTCGCATTCCTCTCCCTTTCCGTGCTTCATGCCTCCTTTGTCTGTGCCAGCAGTTACCATGTCGTACTTCACCTTTCCCGTAGTCCAGCCCGCAGATGCCGCCGAGCAATGGGCGCAAACGGACTGTTCGACAGATCCCAAGCAGTATAGCAGCCGACACGTACACAGCGGTTCTGGATGGCCGCCAGGCTTGAACCACTTCACTATCGAGCCCAATATTGAGTGCCAGCAAGGTCATTATCCATCTCAGCATTATGTTACCGGACTTGAACCGACTGTGGCTGAGTTCCACGCTCACTCAATACACCAAAAGTCCGAGGAGGGTACGTGGGATACCCATCTTCAACACATTCACAACAAAAGTCACCATGAGAACGAACTCGACACGCACACTCATCAGGAACCTCAGACCACCACCTCTATCGCCGCATACCCTCTCCCACACGCTCCCCCATCAGCTCCAACCTCAACTCCCATCAACCACCACCTCGCCGCCCTCCGTCAACTCCCCCTTCAAATCAACCTACCACGGAACCTTCACCCCCCACCCCCCTCAACAGACTCCAATTACCCGCCCCGAAAACCGCACGAAACACACTCCATCCCCGCAACACCATCCTTCACCGCAGCGCAACGCAATCTCATCCTCAAGGCGTGCGAAATCACAGTCGCCATAGCAAGCGCCGGCGCCGACGGCACGTCCTCGAGCCCACAGGCAATCGATAGCGAGCTATACGCCTTTGTGGAACAGGCCTCGGTGGTGCTGAGAGAAGCTACATTGCCGAGAGCAGAGGGTGATATATGGTGTTTGGCTGATAGGGGGCGTCCTGGGAGTTGTAACGCGTATGGTGGAGATACGTGTTGGATGGGAGACGCGGGACGTGTGGTGAGCAACTAAATCACCACGAGCGAAGAAGCCTCCACCTCCCCCGTCCAAGTCCCTGGCGTTAATTCCCATCGACATGGGATGGACATGCAGCTCAGGGTGACGGCGAGGTAGGCTGATAGAACGAGACTGGACGACGTATATACGAGTTGATTACCCACATGACGCTTTCCTAGTGGACCGTATCACCAACACACGAGCAGTTTATGAACGCGTGCTGCCATTTACGACATGAACTTTTGTCATGGCAAGAGAAGATTGAGGGCTGCATTTAGTGAACAAGAGATTGACTATCTGAGCGATTGAGAAAAACGTATCTGACAAGAAAAGGCTTTCCTGGCCTCAAAAGAATTACTCTCACACAAAACTTTTCCATACGATCAACCATCTCGAAACCCAACGACGGATTAAGTCGAGATATGAAGCAAAGATGGTCGGTCAGCCAGTAGTCATCAACCATAAAAGCCATCCTCAAATCAAGTCAGGCCAGTGACCATCAAAAGCAATCAATCCTCCCCAACTTCACTTCCCAGCTCCGAATCGTTGTACTCAATTTCGTCCTCGTGTGCATCACTGTCGTCTTCTCCATTGGCGCCCATGTCATCGAACCCCAAGACGTCCACGTGCTGACCGCCGTCCTCCTTTTTGTCGTCTGGCTTGCTTTGGGTAAGGGGATGAAGTTTGTCTTGCTTATCAGTGATGACTCGGCGGAAGAACGGGTGGTCCTCTTGGAGCGTCTTGCCCTGGGCAATGAACCCCATTGGAGTAAACACAAAGTCCTGACCCCGACGGCGAGCCGCGAGCCACTCCTGCACAAAGGACAGGGGCCGCTCAGTGAGACCGTTGGGAGCTACGTGTACCTTGTGCTTCTCTCCGACTTGCGCATCAGCCGAGTCGCTGTCCGATCCCTCTCGATCCAGGTATTCCAACAATGGCAGTGACTGATCGATGCCGAGAAACTCGCAGAGCTGGTCGTACTCGGTCCATTCAAAGTACAAGCGGCCTGCATAGAGTCCTAGCTCAATCTTCAACCAATCTGGAGCCTTCCAATCAGGGGGGAGGGAAGGGATACTAAAGAAGTTGAGGTCGCTGAAATGAAGCATCTTCCGGGCGACTGGCGCAGCGTACGTAACCAAGTTTGTCGCACAGGTCAAGGTTGGATCTCGGAGAATTGACAAGAGAATCTCGGCCTCTTCGGGTATAACAACCAAAGCGACTTCTGTTTCGCGGCTCCACAAAATCCAATTGACGTTGCGCTGTCTCTAATTGTTAGCAATGAATCTTGATGACACCAGACCGATTCACAAATTGGGCCTCCACTCACCAGGAAATTGTCGCTCGTCAAGTCAAAATTCAGCTTGACTGTGCGTTCAAACTCTGCAGTTACGTAGAGTTTCGGCTGTAAAGATCGGTCCGTGACCTTGAACTTCTTGCCTATCGCAGTCTTGGACAGAGACTCGATGGCGGGAACAACGGTGTGGGCACCGGTGGGTAGAATTCCCGTCTTGGCGAAGGACTCAATCTCTGGGTGCAGCCCAGGAAAAGTCAATGCTGGGTAATGGTGCGGCTTCTTGACTTGGCGAACCGTCTCGACCTCGAATTCCACTTCGCGTTCTTGTTCGACCTCTTGTAGAGCGGAGGCATGCACAGCTCGGCCTGTGTCTTGGAATGCCTTGCGTCTCTTGTTGAGTTCTTTAACAAAGGCCCTGATTCTCGCGTCTGACCCTGCCTGGAATTCACTATTGCCCTTGACCTTGCATTTCGGCTCGTAAAGCTTCTGAAGACTATGCTGCTCGTCCTGCTTGACCGTCGCAAGATAAATGTCCCGCTGGTACCTGTCTTTGACAAAGTTCGGATTGTCAATGGCAGCCTGCATTCGACGACAGAAATCCATGCCTTGGGAATAGTAAAGCGGTTGTAGTTGCTCAATACCATCGCAAGTATTGTCCAACAGCCAGGAGATCCTGCAAAGCGTTAGCCAGGTGACACAGTCGGGCAATAATGACTTACACATCACGGGAGTCAATAGGTGCCCCAAGTGGCTTCCGCTGAAGGTCAATAATGCTTTGGTACACTTCAGGAGGAGCGAAGAATGTCACTGATTGAGTAGTGCCTAACTGCCTCAGTCTCATGGCAGCTGTGATGATTCTCGTCAGTTCCATGGACGTTAGAAAACTCTTTGCGACCACTCCCTCTCTGCGTACCTTGAACTGTGTGGTCTTTACTTTGACCCAGTCCTAAAGTCAACGCGCCACGGGCTGAAGGAGGGAATTTTAGGTCTGTACCTCTTGTGTGAGCCTGCGCTATTGTCAGCAAAGCTACCGTGAACCATAAAACCTCTAATTTACCTCATCCAAGTACACCAAGCACTGGCTCAGGTCATCGGCGTAAGGGGAGACCAGGAGTGGTGTTTTTCTGTCATTTGGCTGGATTATCCATGGCATGTTGCTTTGGTCAAAGAATAGCGCCGCAGGAGCGTCTTGGTCTACCATCAACCATTGTTTAGCCAGAGCTTCGTTATCCATCTCCAATATCTGAGCGCCAGCATCAATCAGAATTTTGATTTTCCGATTCCTGAGCTCTCTGAGAAGGTCAGACTCGGATGCACGCGCGCCACGGGGCCCAACAACCATATGGCACTCTCGAGACCGCTTATGCAAAAGATAGGTTAGAACTTCTGCATTGGTGTGCGAAAGACCAGGAAGGTCGTCTTGCTTGATAGTTAGCGGAAGCATTGTACGATTATCGTTGGTACCGCTGAAGCCGGTTTTCAGGGCTGACGACGACGACGCAGTCTGTGCTCGTCTTGTCTGATCTCCATTTGTGAATTGACCGGCCTCATGCATGGAGAAGTGCGGGATATCCCAGCCGTTGGATTGAAGCTTAACCTTGAACTGCTTCGCATGTTGAGGAAAGACGAAATTGTTCATGAAAAAATCGTTGGTTGCAACATTGTATCTCAGAGCCTTCCATATCTCACCAAGTTGCTGGTCGTCTTCAACGTTGATCGAGTTCCAGGCTTTGAGATTCTCTGGGAAACCTGGACTGCTTTGAGTCCATTTGTCGTATTCGGATGTCGGATCATCAGACTTGAGAAGATGCTGGAGAGATAGGGTCAGCTGGGCGATGCTGATACCGTCATAGTAGAACGCGAGACAGGTGAACAAGATGGCGACGTCCGGGTGTCCCCATTCTGACTGCTCACTGGGAACCCCCTTGGCATGGTAAGGCACCGCAATGGGGTCTCGAAGAGGATGCAGTCCATACTGGACGTTCCATCTCTTCTTCAGAGTCATCATTAAGATGCGGTTGACCAAAACACCTCGAAGCAGATAAATGGTCTGCTTAACGCTGGGCCTATCCGGGCACAAATGACGGATGCGTTGCAGCGTCCCATCTCGGGGTCTCTCGTTGAGTAAGAAATCCCTAACTGCAAGGCGGTCAACAGCGTCGAGATTCTGCAAATGAAGAATGCCAGCATCGCCCCGCAGCACATCTGAAGTGAGGAGCTTGATGAGCGCCTCCTCAACGTCTGTTCGTAAGAAGAACAGCAATGGGAAGCCTCCACCAGAGCGTCGAATGACTTCAATCGAATTCGGGAAATCGTGGGTCAAGGCGTGCAGATGTCTGTCAATGAGGTGCAAGAGGTTTTGGGCCACTTGCCAACGATGGGGGTGCCCGTCGACAGTCATTTGAGAGCCAGACGGGTAGATTAGCTGCGTTCGCGCAGCGAGGGTGTAATCAGACTCGTCTAGTATGTCACGGCATCGAGTGCGTAACCATGACTGGATGTTGACCATTGGCCCAGCTTCCGGCATCTTGTCATCGACCATACGCTGCAGACCACTCAACATGAAAGATAGGTTATGCTCTGGCTGGCATACCATAATGCCCGCTTTCTTCATCATGGCTCCATGCATATTGTGGTACGCTCGTATAATGTTCTCCTTGGTAGGAGTCCGACGAGAAAATGGAATGTGTCGAACTTGTCGATCGAGAAGGCCGCCGAGACGTGCTTGGAGGAGCTGTGCCGTTTGCAACAAAAGGGCCTTGGGGACAACAACTCTCACCAGGTTCTGGCAGTTGGCCAGCGAAGCGGCCACCATGGGTATAATACAAGATGTCTTACCTATTTTTTATTAAATATCAGCATCGACCTCAAGCACAAGTGTATACGGGGGTATCGTGTAACTGACCTTGTCCCATGTTCATTTGTAGGACAGAATTGTAGCCTGAAGCCGGGGATATTGTAGCAAGGGCGACATCGACCTGATCAGGTCGAATCATCAGGTTTGCCTCAATCTCGAGAAGAAGCCAGTCGGGATGTTCGGACGGCTGCCAATTTGAGTGGCCCTTGTTTGACATCTCGTCTGCGTATCGTCCAGCATCGCCACGCATAACCGCATGATTGATACGAAGATCTCGCTGAGCGCCTGTAATGGCAAGGCCAAAGTCTAGCAATGTATCAAACACTGAATCACCGAATAAGACAGGAGTAGCTGTCGATCGGAGCTGCTCCAACAGAGTCACCGTAGTCACAGCTGGCCAAAGCTGTCCTGCCTTGAGCCAATAAACGCATTTGGCAGAAAGGCTTTCATCTGGCTTCTCAAGGGCAAGCATAATGGCCTTGAAGCGTCGTTGAGTGGACTGAAGCGACAGAGAGACTTCTCGGGATACGAAGTCCGCCGACGTATTGCCTTTGGTGTCTTTGGAGTTCCCCCGGGCAACGAAAGCATCCAAGCTCTTCCGCAGATCCTCCGCGTATTTCTGGCGGACCATCGACTTGGAGTTGCAGAGGTTCGACACAATCTTTCTCAGCTCAGCGCTAGCATCGGTCGAAGGAATCAGCGTCATTTTCGCGGGCATCCAGCTTGGTGCTAAAACGTTTGTTCCTGAACTCCGCATCGTAGATGTGGGAAGTTTGATTGGCTGATGAATATGAGCTGGATGGCGGAAGTGATTCGAAGACCGGCCGGAGTTTGAGTGAGTCGTAGAAACATTGAGCTCTGCTTCCGAGTTCGGCGTTGTACCGCTGCCCAGACTTGGAAATGTCTTCTTCAATAAAGTAGACCGCAACAAAGGAATCTCACCGCCGCGCAGCCGGTCCCCAAAACTCTCCTCTGATCCAATGAAGCATGGGGCCTCGTAATCTGTATCAGCTTTGCGTCGGTCCAGAATAAACTGAACAGTACTCAAGTGTGCGCAGAGGTCCATATTCTGATAAAGACGCTTCCATTCCACTCGAACGACTGCTAAAGCAGCTTCAATGTCGATTAGTAAAGATTTGGACAAATCTGCAACAACCGGCTCGATGCAAGGCCACTGTGCCAGGAGGAACTTTGCCAAGAACCTGCAATCATCCTCGGCTTTTGAATCCCAGGCTGCTTTCTCGCCTCTCATCCGTCGCAGCTGTTTGGAACTCGCAAAGCTTTGCAGGGGGTCGTCGTCGTTCTTGGGGGCTGGGGTCTTAAACGCTCCAATTACTCCCATCAGTACATCAAGCTGAGGGATTTGATTCGGCTGAAACTTGTGATATTCGACCCAAGGAGGTAGCTCGACGGCTCTTAGCTCCTCAAAGATTGCAAACGCTGCCAGAGTCTTGACAAGTCTCAAGTCAGCTTTCGAGCCGTATGCCATGGGCGCCAGCATGAACATTAACACAAAGGGGTTTTGTTGTTCCCGGCAAGACTTCACCAAAGCGCCCCAGTTCGATGCAAGGTCTATGCTCAGGCGGTCGTTCAACGAATTCTTGTCGCAGATATCTTGGAAACCACCGATCAATTTGTTTTGGGAAAGCAGCTGTGCCAGATACTGCGTCGTTTTCTTCTTTTCCGGCCAAGTTCGGAGAAAGTTCACAATATCCAGAACTTGTAAGTGGCGCTGATTAGAAGATGCTGGGATATCGCGCGACAAATACTCGCAGTCGCTGGCATTTGAAATGCTTGTGCTGTTACCAAAAGAACGCTCACGGATCTGCCTGCGAAGCCTGGCCCGATCAAGCAGGTGAACGTCGCCTGTGGGTGGCAGTACACCAACATCGACATCCATGAGCGCAAACGTTTGCAGCTCCGCGGAGATTGACAGAATCTCTTCCACCAGAGGCCTGAAGTTCTCGTGCTGTAAACCTTCGGTCAAGCTCTTGTCCCAGTGATCTGTCTTCATTGCCTTGAGATCCACCGGATAATACTCATGCCGTGGAGTGAGCTGCGCGATCTTGACAAGTATTCTGATTGGCCCACCATTGAGGGGAGACCAGGGTTGACAAATTCCAGAGGATAGCCATTGTAAAGCCTCTTCGGTGCCAGTTCGTCCAGTGAGGGGGTCCGGGAACGCTGAAGACGTATATGCGTGCAGCTGTGCTTTCATGTAAAGCAGCATAGGCTCTGGTGCTGATTCGATGCGTCCCAAGTGTTTGTTGATGACAAACTTTCCATATTCTCCGTTGGGCTGTACACTCACCAGCATGCTGTCCCCGTTCCGTATTGCTTCCATTGGCCCCAAGGGGGCCAAGATGCTCCTCTGCTGCGGATCACGTGGGTTCCGGAGCACCAGCTTGCTTTCAAGGCCGTACCACGTCCCTGCATCTTGGTCCGAATCAATCTCAGAGCCCAACTGAGGTGACTCGAGCAGGTGGTGGGCGTTGACGTAGAATAGTAGCTGCAGTCGGCGGATCTCCACTGTTACATGTCCCTTGGGTGGCTGCCACACAAGAAGGTGCCCTAGTGTCTCAAAGCCATGGAAGATGCGAGCGACGCGTTTGAACAATGCGCTGTGAGTGTCCACAAGTCGGGCACCATTGAGCGAACAGCTGCGATGATGGACATCGAGCGTCCAGTTGTGATGACTGATGTTCCATTTGTCAGCGTTTGGGGTGATGAGCACCTTTCCACTGCGAATATCCCTTTTGAAAAGTCAGCCCAAGTGACAAGTTGCTTCTTTTTCGACACTCACAGCCAATGAACACAATCATTCACAAGAGGACCGGGAAGATCCCATGAGTCCCGCGACTGGAAAATGCTCCTGTCTATGAATTGCAGATACTGCTGTGCCTTGGTAGCTCGAATGATGATGGAACGGCCTTCGTACCCAACGTCAACACGGTATCCATTATGCTTGACATTCAGTGCTAAGTATCTAGTTAGTCACATCATCCACACAGTTCTTGCAGGGTGGGGCCTACTGTAGTCCATGCCAGGCATGTCCGAAGGAAACGTGAGGAGAGCCTGCTCACCAAACAGTTCGGTCAGAGTTTTCTCGTGTTCAGGCGGTTTGGGAAGTTTCTGTGAAAAATTTAGTCTGGTCCAGTGCCACATGTCCGAGGAAATTGTACTCACTCCGAGGGGGTGATTATCAACGAGAAGCAACCCAGTGCAGGTATTGTACCGAACCTTCTGTATGCGCTCATCCCAACCATCGTGACCGCGAATCTCACAGGTGACCCATTCTTTTTCAAGCTGAAGAGACGAAATTGTACGAGGATGACCATCGGCTTCGGGCCATACCATCATAATCGCGATTCTGAAGAAATCGGGTGAAGACATCACAGACTTGCGCACCGTTGATGACAGGCGGTATGAAAGCTTCATGTCTGAGACAACAGCGTGTTGGAGGACCTGAGGCAGTGCGCCAACGTCAACAACCAAATGGTCCTGGACAGTGATGCAACACTCGATGTATGTTTGCAGTAAGAAGCGATCAAAATTCTCAAACCGGCTGTCATGGATGATGTAAGTACGCTTGCAGAGAATCGCAGCCCAAAGAGCGTACTGTTGGCACCTGCGGGCTTTATCAACATCGCTTTCTCGGGACGCTTCGTATCGAAGCATCTTAACCCAGGTTATGCAGATCCCACGTGCTCGAATAATGGTCGAATGTGTTTTGTGTTGTTCGGGGCTTGTAGCAGCCGTTAGGGCGTGGATCCGAAGTAGAAATGTTATCAAGGTGTCCATTTGATACGTCTCGCGCCAATTTGCCTGTACACTTTCGAGCCTCATCTGCACCTGCTCTAGAAGCCTATCACAGAACGACTTATTCCGAAAAATATTGTGAGTGGTGCGAAGAACGTCGCCGCGTTTGCCTTGCGGGCCGCTTTGGAGGATGAGGTGGGTCACTAGAAGCATGGTGGCTTCGCTTGAAAAGTTCAAATTTGTGGAAGCCAGCTCCGTGAGCAAAACAATCCAGCGCTGAGCTTTCCCAGTCATGAGCGTCTGCATGGCAAGGTATTCATGGTTGTTGATCCCCGCAGGGCAGCTTGACTGGCTTGCAACGACTTCGTACGATGATGGGCCTGGACCGCTCAGAGCGGAAGCCTTGGTCTCCATGAGCTCGCTCCACGGAGAATTCTTGGGCAAGACCAAAGCCACGTGGTGGTTGAATGAAGGCTGAAATCTCTGTCGGCTGGGCCATGTTGAAGTCGACTCATCAAAGTAACCGAGCTTTAAAGCGTTTGGACGACAAACACCATATCGACCTCCTTCCCATTCGACCGGAAACGGCACAGCAGTGTAATGAGTGACGTGAACTATGCGCTAACGGTTAGATTATGCTGCCATGCTGACCAGGCAAAGAGGGCGGGACGTGCAATTATTGGGATGGAGATACAGACGGGAGTACTGAAGGACTGAAGACGGGATTGGGACTTACAAGGCTTGGTAGTGGAGGCTAAGCCAAGCTTATGACGGCTCAGTCTCCCGAAAGGCTTCAGCTGAAGATAGTCTCTGAGTAGACACCGCGGTTGAATATCTTTGCCATCGAAGTGGGTGGCGAGCTGTCGAAGAAGCCACCATGTCGTGTCTCGATATACCGCGAACTCCCTCGGGCAAGCTAATTCGAAGATGACCGCACGTGTGATGACAGGGTCACTGGGAAGAGGAGCTTCGAATATGCTGATGCGCATGCTTTGGGCTTTCTGCATCATGAAGCATCTCGCACAATTGGGGTCATGGTTTTCCCGTCCCAGAAGGTTGTGCTCGTCGAACAGATATGTGCAGGCGCTCGTGTCAATACGGCTGATCAAGTTGTCATATTCGCTGCTCTTTCTCTTCCATTCCTTCTTCTTGTGATCGCGCATATCGTCAGCCACCTTGATGATATCACGGTGCAGCTCTCTCAAGTCGGGACCATCGCTTGACTCCGTGTAGTACCGCTCAGCGAAGCAGCCGGGAGCTGGGTCTTCAAAGATGTTGCGGTGACTGGGACGAACTTTCCGAATGCGCGCAGAAAGGAGGTTCTGAAGGATATTGAGGCGTCTCATGTCCGAAAGCTGAGGCAGGAGGAGAACGTCAAGCATTTGCGGTTCAAACATGGGATGAAAGTCCATTAGTAAAGGGAAAGCGTCACATGCGATCGAGTCCATCTTCATCCACAGCTCCATAACTGTCAATAGCATCTGGCTCTTCTGTCCGGCATTGCCTGCGTATAGAGGAAGTGCTGCGTTGACATAGTCAAAGATTTGTCGAGAAACCTGCGAACAGGTATCCTTGGTCGATACACGGAGCTCTATCTCTGTCTCGGTCAGCTTATGATAGCGCTGGGCGTATCGATTGAGATGATCTTTGGCTGCCTCAGCTGGGCCTTCGTTTATGATTTCCCGGTATCGTTTGATGGCACGTGGGGCTCTGTTACTCGAGATGACGTTCTTGAGGTAGCCATAGCTGACCTTGAGAGTGAGTCGCATATCCGCGTCGGCGGCTTTCCGTGGAAGATCGGGTATGTGTTTCGTCTGATTCTTCCTTGTCTGATTAATGGCGCGCTGAAGCAGATCAGAACAGTTGCCGATGGTTGCTTTGAAGGAAGGATTGAGAGAATCGAAAAGAAAGTCGTATCGCGAGGTGGTGGCCAAATCTTGGGAGCGGCTTTTATCGAGTTCGAGCTTGACGAGCCGGCGGCAAATTTTCTTTCTGAGAAAGTGGATGTTTTCCGTGGCGGCGTGGAAGTTGATTGCTGCACTGAGAAATGCCAATAGCAAGATGCAGATGAAGAACTTGTACTCAAGACGGCCCTGCTCGGGTTTCAAGGACAAGCAGAGCTGCCTCTCAATGCTGACGCGAAGGACGAGGTAGTAAGGTAATCTGCGCCAAGGCTTTTTGGCGTGGTCCCAGCAGACGTCGTCGTGAACGCGCTTCCTGAGAAGGACTGGTGCGATGCGTCGGCCATTTTCCTCGAGGATGGCCATGAGTAGAGAAGTGATGATGGAGGGGTCACCTGTGTTGCGGTACTCAAAAACAGTAGTGCCAGCCTTGAAGGCGTGGGCAGCAAAATCCTTTACGGTTTCCAACGACGCCTGCTCGATGAAGGTGGCCAGACTTGATTGGAAGTGGTCGTCGGCAAAGGTCGTGTACGGAATAGCAACCGCGATGCCGGGGAAATTCCAGAGGAGGGCGCTCTTGGTGGCCAAGACATTTTCATTCTTGGCGGACGCCTCGAAGGCCTCGAAGACGACACTGTCGTTGAAGATGGGACTAGAGAAGAAGGTTATTAGTGGAACATGGACTGACTGGGATTTTCAGCTTTTCGGAATGGTGCTAAAACTTACTCTTGTGCTCGGCGAATGATGAGGCCAGCATTCTGGTTCTCAATATGCAGAACGATACAACCAGCGGGGCCCAAGCCACGTAGCTCGCGGAGAAGGCTTGCTTTATCGATTCGCCCAGCTGCGTGAAGATGCTGGCAGGCAAGGAGGGTCTTGCGGATTGATATCCAGATATCGCGGCACTCGTCGATGTTGCCAGGCAATTCGCTCATGACCTTGGCAGCGGCTGCCATGCGCTGGACGAGGTCGGACTCGATCAGCTGGATTTGTTTCTCGGGGTCCCGTTGCTGTGGGAGTCTGGCGGGCATCGCCAAGTGGTGGAAAAGCGCACCATGGACGGCTGCTGGAGATTCCAGCGAGGGGTCCATGGTGGCCGGCTTCTTTCTGAGAGACGCGCAAATTGCAAGGAAGTAGTGATTTTGCCTGAATTCGATGAGGCTTTTGCCAAAGTTGTGATATGTGGTATTGGGAGAAAAAGGTGAAGGAGATGTGACGAGGGAGAGAAAAAAAGATCAAAAGGCGAGATGGGCGTCACCGAGACGAGGAAGGAACGGCGTGTTGATGCGGATGAAGGAAAGGTGGGTCTCCAAGTTTGAGACCGGAGGCAATGAGAAGGCGCGATGGAAAGTGCAATGGGAAGGTGCAAGTGGCAATCAACTATGAAAGAGGCAGTAGCGGACCTTCCAGTGCCCTCCCGTCGACTGGCTTCGGCCCTGAGGTAGTTCCCATCGGGTAGCTGCAGCCTCCCGTCCGCCCGAGGTCAAAATTTCCTCGATTTCCTCGAGCTTCCAACAAAAACCACGCTGGTGCACTTGGCACAAGGTGTCTAAGATAAGACTAGAACGGCGGAAGAATGTTAAACGCAGCCATATTTGAGTACTAATACGGACGGGCCAACGGGGAGGTAAGCTGTAGATAAGTATGCTGAAATCAAGGAATTGGGAAGTCACGTGAAAGACCAGGGCATTCTCAAAGCGTAGCCAACGTGATGACGAAAGAGGCTATACAACAGAGACCAGTCATCAATATCAATTTTACACCATCCTGAGGGTACATAGTACAGTTGACTCAGGAGAAGGCAGATGTCAGTTAGATATTCCATTGGTCTGAACTTCAGGACGTGGACTGCCCGAGGCCAGCCTAGGCACCTCGAGCTGTCACCTGTGACTATGACATCGTAACACGCCTGCTAATCATATTCAACTTCGCTCTATGATCATCCAAGTGGGTTCCTGGTTGATCATAGAAGAGGCCCCTCTCTAATCGACTAGATCAAGATGGGTTTGACGCGTTCGAGGCGTGCTGAAGATGTTCTAGTCATGTATTTCGCAGTCCGCATCAAGGTGGCCATATATCAAGGCAATCAGATGAAAGAATCAAGAATCCGAAGCAAGACCCGAATCCATTTAAGCTCGAAAGCTGAGTGGCTTGGTTCGATAAATCTCAGTGGAGGTTTCATACGGAGTTGATTGTGTTGTGAGATGAAGTTGCACTGGTCGAGAAACACAAGTGGCTTGGGCTCGATTATATAATCAATCCTTGACAACTATGCGACGCCACAGAAGCAATCGCCACAACAGCCACAACAGCCACAGAAGCCACACTCTGAATGACTACGGTCAGCCAGCCACATTATCGCCACGTGGTTTCAAAAGCCTGTTGCCTTTGGCTTGTATTAACCTTTCGTTACGGATATGGTCAGTCACAGTTCTCATCTTGAAGTTCTCTAAGTAAAGGGTTAATTGGCTCTCAACCTCTCTATTCCCCAGCGAGTTTCTTATTTCAGAGAACCACATCTGCGGCTAAGCAATTGAGCCTAATCTTCTCTGCATCATTTTTTTGTCTTCTTTGCAAAGCCTGTTCTCATACCCAACCGGGAGCCATGAGTGCGATTCGTCGTCTTTGAAGGGGAGGAAACACCTGAAAATCTAAACAGAATGCCCACGGTACTTCAAATTACCTTGATAAACAAAATCTAAGAAAAGAAATTGCAGAGAGATTCCCATCTGAAGATATTCGACAACTACAATGCTGGATCGCAGAATAATCAATCGTTCTTGCCAGCACGTGGTGACATCAGACCTTTCATTGGGAGTAAAACAATTGCAAAAACGTTTTGATAAACAAGAGCTATGTTCCAGGGTTCGAACCAGGGTTAACGTCAGTATCAGTGATTAATTGACGTGCAGCGCCAACACCATCTGCGTGGGGAATTGCGTGATTACAGATTCTCACTCTTGTTACCTCAAAATTATACCCGATCTCTCCAGCTAGCAGCCTCTAGTTGGTCGATCCATCTTATCAAGCTTCGGAGCAAACTTCGGCAGTCCAAAGGTGGAGCCAATCATTGCGGTTAATGCCAGCCGTGCTTGTCTGCGTCCACCTTTGATCCCACGTCGTACCGGGGATTTAAAGCTCGGTGTGTTGAAGCGACATGTTGCACCCACTTTCACAATTGCGTGCTGAATCCTGCTATCTCAACTCGTCTGCAAGTCGGATGCAAACTCTGAAATTCCGCATTCCTTATGGAGCCTGACGTGCTTGAATGTCTTGGATTCTTGGTGGTGCACGGAAATGATAAACTCGGCCTGCTGCTGCAAACCAGGTCTGTTGGCTGCTCGGTGCCTCGCCGGGAGCGATCTTGATCTTTGTCTCTGATACTCAACTTCCTGAATCGGATATTCATCATGGCTCTCGCTCGATTGGGCCAGATTTACCGGTCATGTCTCTTCCAGATCATCATTGTTGGAATTGTGGCATTTTGTGAGCCGGGAATCTGGACGGCGCTCAACAATCTCGGCGCAGGAGGAAACGCATCCGTAAGTCTCGTCAGACTTGAAAAACTCCCCGCTCTTTATGCTAAGACAGTTTTTCCAATAGCCTCTTTTGAACAATGCCGCCAACTCTCTCACCTACGGGCTCATGTCTGTGGGCTGTTTCATAGCGGGAGGCGTAACGAACAAGATTACGGCCAAGTGGACCCTGTTCATCGGCGCAGCATTCTACACTCCCTACGCAGCAGGGCTTTACTGCAACAATCGCTATGGTAACGAGTGGTTCCTATTGCTTGGTGCCGGACTTTGCGGTATTGGAGCATCGCTGTTGTGGGCGAGTGAGGCAGCCATCGCCGTTGGGTACCCCGAGGCGGAGAAAAGAGGCCGGTACGTTGTCCATCCGCAGAGGCAGAGTATGACCTTGACATTGACTGACACATACCTTGCTCAGTTATGTTGGGATCTGGATGGGAATTCGGCAAATGGGACCCCTCGTCGGCGGCGCAATCTCCCTGGCACTCAACATCAAGACGGCTGAGAAGGGCAAAGTCACCTACACGACCTATCTAGGCCTGGTTGCCATCTCCTCGCTGGGAGCACCGGCTGCTTTGCTCCTATCGCAGCCTCAGAAAGTCATCAGAACCGACGGCACAAAGATTCCCTACATGAAGCAGACCAACTTTGCCATCGAAGCCCGCGCCATTTGGAAGCAGTTGAGGAACAAGTATATGCTGCTGCTCATCCCCGTTTTCCTGGCAGGTCAATTCGGCACGACTTACCAAGGGAATTATCTCACGAGTACGTCTCATATTCAGCAGTCTGTTTTTCTCAATACGCGTTAGCTAATTCTCATTTGAAAGCGTACTTCACCGTCCGATCTAGAGCTTTGGCGTCATTTCTCACAGCCATCGTCGGAGCAGCCGCCAACATCACCACCGGTGCCATCCTGGACATCAAGCGCTTTGAGCGCTCCGCCAAATCCAAGGTCGTCTACATCATTATCCTAGTCTTCATCACCGCTGCCTGGATTTGGAATGCCATCATCGAGACACGTCTTTCCCGCATGGCCGAACCGCCCTCATTCGACCTGGGCGATGGCCCGTTCTTCAACTCTGCCTTCACGGTTTACATGTTCTTCAAGTTCTTTTACGAAGTGCTGCAGACGTACATCTACTGGTTGATGGCTGAGATCAAGGGCGCGCAGGGTGATGGGGACATTGCGCGAACGACGGGCATTTTACGATCGTGGGAGTCGATTGGGAGCACGATTGCGTATGCTGTGGGCGCGACTCACTGGCCGAACAAGAACCAGATGATTTTGGGATTCTCGCTGTGGGCCGTCACGATTCCTTTCACTCTGCTTGCAGTTTTTGGCAACTGGAACCAGGGCGGGGAGGAGGAAACGTTGGAGAACTCGGATGAGACGGAGAGTGACGTTGGTGTTGAGAGGGTTGCGGTTCGGGGTAAGGGGGAGCAAGTTTGAGGACACACTGCTTGCTTTCATGAAGTTATGACATGTTCACTCGCCGAGGAGAACTACGATCAAAAATAGAGTCACAAGCCCTAAATACTTGATTAGATATCGGCTGGGAGGCTCAAAGCATTCTACCCAACCACGTCTTCACAACTCATAGACTAGTATCCGCCGAATGAGAGCAAGACTGATGAACTATCTTGCTCAATGAATCCCATGGCACATGAAAATGCCCGCCAATCACTCCGAAATCGCCACATCACAAGGCCATCCCGCTACGTAACAATTGAATGCAGCGGACTTATCATGGAAGAATGTTCAAAGTATCAATTTCACCCAATAAACCAAGGGGGTCTAAAATGAACGCTACCAATATCCAACGCCAAAATCTGAAATGCTCCAGTCTCGCCATGAACCATTGCCTCCAGTCCTCGGGTCTCGCACCAACTCCACACTCAGAACGCAATCGCCTCATCAAGACACATTTTCTTGTTATCATCCATCCTGCCCTTGCCCCTGCTACAGCAGTCGATCGCGGCGCAAAGCTGTGAATCGCTCTGGCTCGCCGTAGCCGTCTTGGGCACCTGCTGCTGCGCCGGCCAGATCTCGCTGCCGGACTGTTGCTCCTTCTTCCAGTGCTCGGTGACGATCTCGCGCACCGTCTTCTGGAAGAAGAGGGGGCCCTTTTCCAATTCCGGGTGGAGCTCGCCGTTGACAAAGATGCCGGCGTTGATGTTCTTCTGGGCGTTGGCGCAGAGGTACTTGTCCTCGGACATGATGCGCTTGTACATGTCACTGATGACGTTAAAGTCCTCATCGCTGGAGTTCTTGTTGCGGTAGACCTCGTAGCGCATTTGGGACTTTGAGGGGCCGTCAGGAACGAAGCGTTGAATGAAGAAGAAGTGTGGTCTGAAGAGAATGTTAGTTACGTTATGATTCCTAGAACAGCGTATAGAGTGGTGCAAGACGTACGAGACGTTCATGGAGGCGTTGGGCCAGAAGTAGGTAGCAGCGACGCGGAAGCCCTTTGCAATCTGCTCCGGGGTGGGCTGGCCAAAGTGCTGGATGTATGCGTTTTGAGTGTTGACAAAGTAGGAGTTGAGGTCGGCGATGGAGGGAATATCAGGGTGAGCAGTCGGGCAGTGGTAGCACTCGTTGTAGTTGTCGGCGAGAATCTTCCAGTTCCACTCGCCCTCCATCTCCCAGTGGTGGTCAAATACGTAGTCCTCAAAGTTGTAGTGCTCAAATCTCTCCTGCTCATCGATACCGAGGAAGTCGTCATTCCATGCAATCTCAGGCTTATCGGCGGCGTCCAGGTTGACCCAGATGAAGCCATTGCAGTCGACGTGGACATGGATAGGGAAAAGATTGTTTTGAGACTTATCGAAACCCGCCAGCTCCTGATAACCGGGTGCCTTGGCCAGATTGCCGGCCAGGCCATAGGACCAGCCGTGATACTTGCAGGAGAAGACATAGCTGTTTCCCTCTTCCTTGGTTACTACCGGGAATGCGCGGTGGCGGCAGATGTTGTGCATGGCGTTGATGGATCCCTTTCGGTCTTGGACAATGATGAATTGGTAGCCGGCAACATCGTAGCGAACCCAGTCACCAGGGTTGGGGATTCTAGCCTTGTGTGTGGTGAGGAGCCATTTTCTGGAGAAGATGGCACGGCGCTCCAGCTCATACATCTCCTGAGATGTATACCATGAGGCAGGGAGGGCTCTCACAGGGGTCTTTTCATCCTGAGCAGCAGGCTTGGAGCCGCCGCCGAGGCCAAAGTAGTTCTTGAAAAGTGACATTGCTATAACCCGCAAATCTGTGTAAGACGATAGCTCGATGAAAACGATGAGAGCTGGGGAATTGGAGCTGATGCTCGGTAGTTGTAATCTGATGATTGTGGTCTGATTTGGGTTATCTAGAACTCTATAATCCGAGATGGTAGTCCTTCTATATAGTCATGATAAGCCCCTGCCGTGCCCGTCGACTCAGTCCGTGTTTCGCCCTTGCCTATCTCTTGAACTGGAAACCATCGTTTGGGCCGGCCGGTGCTCGACGTCGCACACCGAACGCCTCTCACAATTCCGGACACACGTAGCCATCAGGTGGCTGTTGATGCGGTTGTGAAGACCGATCACATGACCGGCAAACACCTCCCACGCGGACCGATTGGCGTTCCAAACACCATGGGGTGGAATATACGGACCGAGCCGCGCTATGATGGCAGAGGTCCTGGACAAGCTGGGGTCCTTGGGGGCAGTGGAGATAAGATTCATCGTGGTGCGTTGCTTGATGCAGCGTCCACCCCCAGGAGTCTAGACTTTCCACCATACGAGATACCCGTGTTTTGAGCTAGACACCCTCCTATGAAGATCCGGTCCATCTATACACAGTCACTTAAGGTTGCTCATCCCTGCTTATCACAACTCTGACCAGCTATCCCCCCAAAAGCTCCCCCGGCCAGTGGAGCGAATATCTGCCACATATCGGCCACTAACGAGTATCGTTTCCCAATCTGGAAACTTTTCACTGTGCATTCTTCATTGGGTACCTAGTACCCCCCAGTCCCCGCCTCGTGAACGCCCAGGCGGGTTTTGACTCCATTGGCATCCGATGGTTACACGTCGTTTCCAGCCCGCTGCTCTTCAGTGTTGCCAGCGAAACGTAATGTCTTGAGCTCCGTTGGCGTCAACGCAGCCTCACTGTGTTCGTCCCATTCGCTGCACATTGCACACCCCTCTCCTACCATGTCTGGCGGCTCGGCGTACGTGACGCCGTCGGTGGACTAGGCCGGATACCCTTCGTGCGTTGGCCGCCATGCATGCACTAGACTGCTGATCCGCGTGGTAGGGTGCAGCTGTCAACGAGTCAATGACCATGTCAAGTCAAACCATACATGCACACCGAGGATTTCCGTATCTATCGTGATGGTGGCGTTGACCGTATCGGCTGTGTATGGAGAAGACAAACAAGTCAGGGAAGACTCTGGTAAGGATTGTTGCCCTGTTTACGCTAGGTTCCAGGGTCTTATCGTGATTCATCCGGGGGCATCCCTGGTGTTTGCTCTCGGTTGTGGAATACCAGTATCCAACCCAAGCAGCTCAAAGGGTCAGCCAATGCCCACGTTCCGTCTTTGACCTACAAGATAAACCTGCATTGCATTGATTCTAATCAACAGAGCCAAGATCACGATCTGGTGATGCTTGAGTTCTGGAAGATAGAGACACACAGAGCAGGCCGGTCCCCCGGACGGCCGGAATCGTCACGTGATCGGCTTTCGGAGTCGAAGCCGACATCGGGACCCCTTCGGCGCTTGGTGGCGGGGAGTTCACACGGGTCACCGATAAGTAAACTGTCTGCTCGCTCCGTGAAGGCGACGATGCAAAGTATTCAGGGTAGCATTTGACGTGTTTGTTTCCGTCTCTCTTTGCCGTCTTGGAAACTTGTATAGTTGAAAGAGTTGAGAGATCTCTACTCTGCGTGGCTGCAAAGAATCCCCCTTTTGACCAAGTTCCTCCCCCC